GAGCTGAAGCAGGGCCCCGGGACACAGCCGCAGGTACACCGGACCCCACTGACGCGACGACATGCGGTTCTTCTTCTCTGGGATCCGCAGCATCAGGGACCAGCCGTGCCTCCTCTGACTGAGGAACAACCCCTGTGGGACGAAGGAGGACAGGCTTCTCTTCAGCGCTTTATCATTCTCAGCGCCTGAGGGTCGACTCTCTCGGTCCACCTTCACATCATCTCCATCCAGCTGCTTCTCCTCGGTCCTCAGCTGCTCCAGTTTATGGCAGATGTAGGAGTAGGAGTACTGAAGGTGGTCTTGGGTCGGCTCGTCACCATCCTTAGTGCGGATGAAGAACCGGGGCAAACTGGGTCCAGAGTCTGAGTCTGATGACGAGGTCCAGGACGCACGTTTATGTTGTTGTTGTTCTTCCCCCCAGAAGGGGTTGAAATGGCCCGGCTCATCTTGGGATGCTTTGAGAGAACCAGAGCCTTCAGTGATTCCCATTGAGTCTCTCAGACAGCGGGAGAAGTCCGGCGCTGAGGGTGTTGATCCCACCGGAGTGCACATCGGAGTATTGCTCGGCACCTGGGAACTCCCGTTAAGTCCAAACTCCAGTGAAGGAGATTCTATGGCAGAGCTGAAGACCCATGATTCACTCCCCAAAGATGGAAGAACGAGTTTCAAGCCGTTGGGCCGAGGTATTGACCCGGAGCTCGATGCAAGAGAGCGTAGGGATTTCGGGGGTGAGGAGAAGGTTGTCGCTTCATCATCAAACGTAACCCAGTTGGCTGGCTGATTGGTGGAGCACATCTCTTTACTCTTCTTTATTCTACAGTCTTCTGCAGAAATACAAAGAGACAGACACAAATTAGGTACTAACTAATTTGAAAGAGATTCAAACCAGCTCGTCTGGCCTTTTAATGTTGTCATTGTTCCGACTAGGTGGATGTTTCGTCCTGAACAAATAAATGAAATTAAATTCACATTTATTTGTTCACAATACATTGTTTCAAAGCAGCTTTACAGTTTACAATTTAGAGTGATCTGGTTTTTCAGAAATGCACACACAAAATCAGAGTTTGCAAAAAAAATATCAATTTAAACAATGTAATAATTTATGGCAGAAAGCTTTTTTTAAAGTGATAAATATTTGTTTGTTAACAAATGATTGACGTTTAGAAAAATGTGCCATTGATGCATGTTGATTCAGAGTTTGCGTGATCTGAAGTCTTCGCAGGAGTTGGTACACACACCGGACACTGAAGGACTGTCACGTTAATCAATCGATTGACTTCGAAGACCTAAGGCCAGTCAGCACTGCACCGCTAGACACCTCGTTGGGTTTTGTTGGATCCGTCGGCGTCTGTTAGCGCTGGTCTGTCGGGTCGCTATGGTGGGCGTCTGAGGCTACAGAGCGAATAGGTCTTAAAAAGGTTAAAGACTACACATCTATTTAGAGTAATAACTACTAGACCATGGTCTCTAACTCCTGGAGGGCCACAGGCCTGCAGACCTCAGCTCCAACCCTAATTAAACACACAGCGCATCCCGTTAATCAAGGGCTTCAGGTTTACTAGGATCTTCAAGGCAAGGGAGCCGGAGTTAAACTCAGGAGGCGAGTTTGGGACCATTGTACTACACAAATGAGGAACACACTGTCCTTTGGCAAGTCATGTTTAGTTATATAGTGCTTTATACAACAGAGTTTGCTTCAACGCAGCTTTACAGTGATAAGCAGGAGTTCTCTTCTGGCTTTACAGGAGAACAATGTAATTGATGATCAGTAAGAAGTAAACGTTCTTGTAAATGTATGGTATTCAGTTTCAAATATAAATCTAGCTCACGGTAATTAAAAACATCACTGAAGTATGCCATGAAGAACGGGGAAAGAGAAGAAAGAGAGAGTGAAAAAGATTGCACAATCGTCCAATAGGTGGAGCTGTGCAGTAAATCAGCATTAAACCACAGAAGACAGAAGATGTATGGTGCTCATTCTCTGCTGGGAATGTCTTTGTGTTTCCACTGGAACAGATAACCGATCAGCAAGGTCTGGGTTACTCGACAGGGCGTTCAGGGTTCATGTGATGTCAGTTAGCCTGCTCTGTGGAACTGAACTTCAGGCTGATGCCGATAAGGGCTCAGTTTGCTCAGTATGGAGTCTGTAAAGGGGTGAGGAGGTGTAGGTGGGACAGAAATATTGAAGTCAGAGGCTGAAAAAGAAAGCAACAGTGCGAGTCTCATGAACGTCTCCAGAAGAATCCTAGAATTCCTCAGATTCCTCAGGGAGAGAGGGATAAACTCCGGAAGCACAGCCCTGCGTCCCACAGCTCGTTCACAGACGTCATGATGAGACTCTCACACGGCCCGACACGTCTGCGGTTCAGATCATTAACACACACTTGTACACTAGGCTCTAGTGCACTACACACTCGGATCGTGTTCTACAGTGTGCAACGTTGGACACCTGCACTAAACGCTCAATTTCCCCACATAACCGCAGATGATAATAATCATATAGGTTTCCTGAGTATCAAATCATATTAGAGCGATTTCTGAAGGATCATGTGACACTGAAGACTGGAGTAATGATGCTGGAAATTCAGCTTTGATCACAGGAATAAATTACACTTTACTATACATTCATAAATAGAAAACTGTTTCACTAATATTTCACTGTTTTTACTGTATTCCGGACCAAATAAATGACAAATTTACAAACTTTTGACAGGTACTGTGTATGATTCTAAATCTTCATTAAATAAAGCAATGTTTATTTTACCCTAATTTATTTATTTTATTGGATATATGCACTCAAAAGTTTTAGTTTTTTCTTTTATCAATTTTCTATATAATGTATTTCTATAATAACAAGATACATATCACATTTCTTTAAATGTGGGAGCAAAATGGCTAAACATAGAACTTAAACAGTCATATTATCTTTGCAAGCACAGACCGTTTCTTAGTTCAATCAATCTCTCCATTTTAAATGTATAATTCACATCAAACAATAATTCTTATTCACAGAATTAAAAAAGATCTGATTAAAGATTAAAAGCTAAGAATTGCTGAAGTATTAGCGCCTCGTTTGCTCTCCTGAAGCCGTGTGAGCTGTTGTTACCGCTGGAATGGGAATCTCAAGAGGTTGGGTCTGCTCCTCACACACATCTATCCTTTATTATTCATTCGGTAGAGCATATGTTGGTTTACTATACTTGCGTTATTTCATTTAGTTCTTATTTCAAGTTTAATCTCACCCCTTTTGCCAATAGTATTATCCTGCATTTCTGGACCCTGGTGTCTTCGTGACAGCGCCAGCAATGCATCGATACATGAAGAAAATAACTTCAGCTCTTGCTTTCCAAGGATTTAAAACCATTTTATTTAAACAAATTAAGATCAATATTTCAAGAAGGTTACCAATGGTTATGTTTGGGGTTAGGAGAATATGTTAAATGAATATGTCAGTCTTTTCTGAATATTAATAAACCAAGTACTGAATAAGTACAATAAATAATATCCATAATAACACTAGGTGCTGAAACTGATCAGGATTCTGACTGTGGAACAGAATTATACATCTTTTGTTTATCTCGAGATGAGTTTGTAATGGCTACTTACTTACCCTGGAAGTTTCCTCAGTTTATGAATCTGTCATCATCGTGTTCCCTATGATGCAGTTTTACATGAACTTCTCTTCTGTTTGTTTTTCTCTGATGAGCGTCAAACTCATCAGACAGGATTGTGAAAATTAAATCTCACTGATCTCACGCTAGTCAAACGACAGAAACTATAGTCGCCATCAAAGCCTTGACTTTTCCTCGCGGTGAAGAGTAAATATGATTCCTGAGGAACTCAGAGACTTTAACTCTGAGATTCGCTGTTTCTTTGTTTGCAGCGACTCCACAACTACATAAAACAACAACAAACAACTGAAGCACAAGTGGAAACACTGGTTGTGTGTTTTTTCTTTGCAATATCTCGTGATTTTAGATGTGTGATCCAGTGCAGAAACGGTATTTTCTCAAAATGGCAGAAATAACGGGAGGAAAACATCCCGACGGGAAGCGGATTCCGCGACTTACTACGACGAAGGATCAACTTAATATTCATACAGCGAGTCTTCACCATTGGACGGCGACCAGTCAACGTCATAATATCCTCATTAATATTTAAGAGATAAGCCTTCAGCATCGCATCAATATTCATGATCGAATATTCTTCTTATTTAGGTTAAAATGACGTCACCAAGAGCTAATGCTAATTATTATTCATGAGCTCATGCCTCGCTGTAGTAGGAATCATAATCCGGCGAACGGGAAGAACATCAGCTCCCAAAACTTTTATTTTTTTTACCATATCTTTTATAGATTGAGTTCGTGAAATGAATACTGAAATGAACAAATGAATGGTTTAGTTTATACTTTTATTTACTTGATTTTGGTTGAATCCAGTACATTGTGCTAAACAGATCCATATAAAGAGAAATAAAAGAGATTAATATGAGATGATCAGTACACTCATGCTGTCACAGATGATTTAATGATATATTCACATCATATTCTACTTCACAGCTAATGTTGATGTATGACATCATGAACTTTAGACAAAAAACATATTTAGAGCATACAAATCATGAGTGGTTTATTTTGTGAGGAAAGGAAGCAGGAAGTCGGTGTCGATTCGATGTGTTTATTCACACAAACCCTTTTTATCCAGACGATTTCATTATTAAATTAGTGGGGAGATTATCATGATGACATCACATAATCAATCACACACTCATCTCACACAATCAAATCTGGTTTGGGATATATGTGTGTGTGTGTGTGTGTGTGTGTGTGTGTGTGTGTGTGTGTGTGTGTGTGTGTGTGTGTGTGTGTGTGTGTGTGTGTGTGTAAGGCAATATGTGATTTCTCTAACAAACACCATCTGCTTAAAGAAAAAAAAAATACACGCTTTGATTACATACGTACACACACACACACACGCACACACACACACAGACTCTCTCTCTCACACACACGCACACACACACACTCTCTCTCTCTCTCTCTCCCACACACACACACACACACACACATACACACACTGCAGATCTTCCGGTCTTGTGTCACTGGTGTGTGTGTGTGTGTGTGTGTGTGTGTCAAACGCAGGTGTTCGGCCCCTCTGATGTCTGTCCGTTACCGGCCCTTGTTCTTCTTTGAGTTTCCCTGCAAGAGTCCAGCAGAAATAGCTTAGACTTCACTCAAAAATTCGTTCAAAAATATATATATTTTTTTCACTTTATAATTGTATTGTGTGATTTATTTTTAGATAAAATGTACTGCAAATGATTAAAGTTGTTGTTTTTTCTCAAAAAGGATACATTATGATATTTTGTAAAGAGAAAACAGTAGCCGTTTCAAAGCTAGATGTGTAAAAGGGGAAGGCAAATATAAGTTAGCTTCTTCCTTCTCCTTTTTTTCCATATTCTTTTTCTTCTCTTTTGAACATGCTAAGATTTTGTTCTTATTATTTTTTGTTAAAATATGTTCTGTTGCTAATGATCATGTTCTGAAGAGGAAAAGAAAATGAAAAGAAATAAAAATGATTCATTCATTCATTCATTCATTCATTCAATTTTTAGCAAAAGTCTCCCACCATTTATTTCCAACCTTTTCTCACTTCAAAAAGTATAATCAGACAAAAGTAACTTCTGTTGGCCATATTTGACGAGCTCCATAGACGTGCACAGATCAAATACGTGAACTCAAGTCTCAATTAAATCTGTAATCTGCGATCAGAAGACTTAGACTTAACCGCTCCATTCCTACAATCTCTTAATGAATATTCAGCAATATTTTTCACTTGACTGCACGGACACTATTGGATAGGAGCTGAATGGATCTGACAAAATTAACTCGGTTTGCATCATTGATCCTTATTTTCCTGTTTATCACAGTAAAGCTGGATCACAGATTTACACAACACAGAGCCAGATCTACAGAGTCTGATCTACACACAGTCTGATGTACAAACAGTCTGATCTACACAGAGGCTGATCTACACACAGTCTGATCTACACACAGTCTGATCTACACACAGTCTGATCTACACACAGTCTGATCTACACACAGTCTGATCTACACACAGTCTGATCTACACACAGTCTGATCTACACAAACTCAACACCAGTGTTGGGTAAGTTACTCTAAAAAAGTAATTAATTACTAGTTACTAATTACCTCTTCAACAGTGTAATTAGATTACTGTACTAATTACTCTCTCTAAAAAGTATTTAATTACTTTTAATTACTAATTACTTTCAAAATCCCATATCAATCTCAAGCAGCTGAATAATACAAGGATAGACATGAATCTGTTTTAATTTTTTCAAATAAATACTATAAAATTGCATGAATTATCCTTAAACTGACCAAGGTGGAGAAGGTTACATTATAAAAACATACTTTTTAGCATCAGACAATACATTTTGATGTTAAACCCACTATTGTTTTATGTCTGATCTCATGACATTTCACACTTTTTCCATACATATTTTACAATAATTCATACGAATTTGTACGAGTGCGGTCGTAATATTTAGATTCCTCATAAAATGCATACGGATCGCTGTGAGATCGGATTGATCTATACACAGTATTTACCTCAATAACATCAGAAGTAACTGTATTTAAATTACATATAAATGAAGAGTAATCCCTTACTTTACATTTTCAAGGAAAAGTAATGAAATTACAGTAACTAATTACTTAGTAATTAGTTAGACCCAACACTGCTCAACACAGAGCCTGATCTACACTGAGTCTGATCTACACAGTGTGATCTACACTAACTCAACACAGAGCCTGATCTACACTAAATCTACAGAGCCTGATCTACACTGAGTCTGATCTACACAGAGTCTGATCAACACTATCTCTATAGACCCTTTTACAGTTGGTAAACATGGTGACGTTTTTTTGTGGGCGGAGCTTAGGTAGAGGCAGAAAGATCCCTCTGGCCGCTTCACTAACGCTAGTTAGCAAGGATTGTTAGCTTGTTTTTTTAACAATGACTGGAGAAAATCCGATATAATCTTAATGTGTAAGGTCACTCAGTGTCCAGGACCGCGATTGTTATTTCCAAAAGTTATTTGTTAACGGACGGATCCAGATTGGCCGACCCGTAGCCGCCTACACGCTCACTCAATGAAGGACGATCTGACAGGATTAACGTACGTTACCTCGGGTGAGTGGTCTGACTTCTACACCTACCTTATAGAGAAACCCATCGTAAAGAGAAACTGAGGGCATATAAATCTTTAGATGCCTATATGGTCCTGTACAAGACTTGTGTGTACGATCCGCAGTTCTGCCGAGTCAGCGCCGAGACCACGACAATATAAAGAGTGACATTACAGTGCGATTTTAATGATGTGAATATTTTCTAGAAATAAAAGTTCCAGATACAGCATATTCATTTTTCATCAATTCTTGCACCAAACAACACTATAAGATGACATTTAATAATAATAACAATTATTTAAGCTCCTTATTATGTAGCCGAATCTGTGCTGGTTTGCATTGGCCGCCTCCAGTTTTCACTTTGTTTTGCCTCCAGCTAGCGCCGTGACGTAACTGTGACGTCGGCGCAAAAGGGGTCTATAGAGTCTGATCTACACAGAGTCTGATCAACACGGAGTCTGATTAACACTAACTCAACACTGTTCATTATAACTTTGTAACAAACATCTGAAGCGTGAGGTGTCTGACCTTGGAGGTGAGCTTGAGCGTGTCAATCTCGTCGCGCTGCTTGCTGAGCGTGTCGTTCATGCTGCACAGGTGGTCGCTCATCATGCTCAGCTGATCTTCGTAGCTCCTCTTCGTGGTGCTGAGCTCATCCTGATCAACACACCAAGAGACACGTCACCAAAACTACAGACTTCAGAAGGACCGACTTAGCCGAGCACGTCTGTAAGTACCTGTAGGCGAGTGATGTTCTGATTAGCCAGCTTCAGTTCCTCTGTCAAAGTCTCACGTGATTTTTCTGCGATGGTGAGGCGTTTGGCAACAGCTCTGCACTGAAAGAGAAAACATGCTATTTAATTAGAAATTTCCGGATATTTTCCTCGATATTTAAGCATTTTCCCATAATTGGTATCGGTTTTGTAATATCAGATTCACAGTTTTGAGAATTGCATGCAAGACCACAATTAAACCACAGCGTCTGACGGGAGACGAGCCAACAACGGACAACAAGGGTAAAATAACTTGTTAAAGGGTAAAATAACTTAATTATATTATATTATAGAATTATATTATATTCCTTAATTATAAACTTTGTTTAATATAACAGCCAATAATCCACAAATATGATATGTTACATAAATGCTTATGTTGTTTAAACTAAAAAAGAGACAAAGTCACGTAATCTGCCAAATCCTGTCTCAATAAAGATTAATTAAGAAGAAACATTAATTAAATAAAACAGCCATAATTGAATTTATGTTTGAAATAAAAGTGCTGAATTAAAGTTTCTCTATGTTATCTGCTCATCATTAGTCTCAAGGAATCACGTTCATAGTGCCGTTCACTCACCGGGTTGATGGTTCAGCATGGCCACCGTACGCAGTTTAACACAACCAACTTTTTTTTAAACTCCTTAAATTATATTAACATCTACTATATTACTTTTATTTAGCTAAAAACCATAAATAATTACAACTCTGTGGGAATTCATTATCTTCGCGAGAGACATTCTTTGTAAAACACACTGCACACAGTCAGGTACTTCATAATCTAAACCAACAAAAACATGATTAATAATTCTAATAACATGAAATAGACTCGGTAACTGCACTGATGTATTCACTGTTTTGTTTATTTTTCTGACAATGTTTGCTGATCCAGCGAATATTTCAGCTATTCCATTATCTTCACTCTTCATCCTATCAAACAACACAAACCTTTTAAAACTGTACTTTAAAACAAATGCTTATATTTATGGGGAGGTGATAGACTCACCTGAGTCATTCTCTAATTTAGGGTACATTTCATGTCAGCAAAAAAAGCACAAGAGTACTGTCCTTTCTCAGTGGAATATTAAGTGTCTCAATATAGTATATTAATTCGGTGTTACATATCTGTCATCTGCAGAGCTTAAATATTAACTGTTTTTAATTTTTTTTAATTAAAAACATGTTTTTACTTCAGAGTTTGTCAACTATGTTACGGACAAACAGGGTGTCATACAAACCATTCAATTCAGTCTTGCACTTGGAATTTAATACAATTTAGAAGGCTCTTGAGTCTATTTCTGCCACACATACAATTGTTATTTAAAATGATTTTCATAATTAACCTTTTTTTAAAGATTAACATGCAATGCATTTATAACGGTCCTTATGGACAAGGATGTTTTTCATCATAAATCTCCATTAAAGTTATTTTTGATAATTAAAAAAGATGTTATAGTAAACTACAACCTATGCAAATAAGTAGAATGCTAAAAAATGTCAGAAACATCAATATTGGCTATTTTAACTTTAAGAATCTAAGTGTAATCTAGGTGACAATGAAAATCACACGGTTGACACAAGTAACCTAGTTGACTGGACATATTGTTAACCATGGACAACATTTTATTTATGAGACAGAATTGAATTAGCAAAGTTGCTTTAGGTAATAACCTCTTTTATTTTAAATGTAGAATTATTAAACTGTACAGAAATGCACATAATTCCACAGAGAATACATGGATTCTGACACATGCTCTTTTGAAGTGCTATTTTATCTTTTTAGTTTCTTGCGAAATTTATCAGATTTTCTTTTTTTGCTTTTCAAGCAAGTCTCTCAGTTTCTGTATTTCTCTATGTAATTTTGAGTTTCAAATATAAGTTATTTATTTAAATACTTAAAATATATTAATTCATTCGTGTCCACAAAATGTTGGTCAACTATGTTACAAACAAAACCTCCCCCAGCAACTCAAAAATGGTTTGTCCCAAGACCATGTGACCAGCACTATGTGATATCACACCATGTGAGGTGCACTCTGGGAACAGCCTATTTGTTCAGAAATTTCTTTCTGTGTCTTACCCTCTTAGGGCTCAGTGCTCTACCCTGCCATAGAGCACTGATGTAACTTAGTTGAAAGATAGTTGACCATAACATAGTTGACCATAACTTAGTTGACAATTTCCATATTTTTTCCCCATAACAGAAATGGTGGACCTAGCCTAGCTAACCACATGTTATTTTTTTTAAGCAGGTTAATGTAAGAATTCAACAAAAAAATTCGTTATAATAAATAAAACTGTTTAGCCATGACAATGTACATAACATAGTTGACGGTTAATAATACGGCCGTTGACAATATGCTTTTCTACATCAAATATTGAAAAAACTGATAGGAGAATCACCATGGTGTGTTTGAAATGGCCTCCACAGAGAAAATGACATCACATGGTGCTGGTCACATTTTTGAGTTGCTGGGGGAGGTTTTGTTTGTAACATAGTTGACCAACATTTTGTGGACACGAATAAATTAATATATTTTAAGTTTTTAAATAAATAACTTATATTTGAAACTATTATTTTCCTTTAATATTAAGACTTTTGTAAAAGAATGCAAAAAGAATTGATTTATTTATTGATTTTAATGGATATTTTTGGACCCTCATCTTTCTCACATTGAAATCGGACATGGACAAAACTGTACATTTAGGGCCATATTGACACATTTTAAGTAAAATGAAGAATATATTGCACATATTGTCTGTGTGATGTTATTTCAGGAAGCAAGTTTACACATAAAATGCAATTTGTTTGAAGAAATTTGATTGTATAAGTATATTTAACATCAGTGGACATGCAGTGTACCCTAAATTATAGAATCACCCACCTATCATTTATTTATCACAAACACTGTATGAAACAGCGTTTATGACCCTGTTTATGACTTATTGATGTAGAAGTGTGTTTTGTTAAGTATGTAAGGAGGGAGTGAAAATACAAAAATTACATTATTTAAAAAGTGTTAAATAAAACAAAAATAAATATATATCAGTTACATAAACATGCAAATAATTGGTGTCGGTATCAGTTATAAAACAAATCAATATCGGTTGATGTAACGACTGCATAAATTTACCGTGTTAAATTATTCTTCTTTATATAAAAGAATAATGTATTTAAATGTTTATTGTGGCATGAATGGATGCTTTGTAACTCTTCAGTGCACAAGCAAACACTTCCAGAACATTCACACTAAACTAAGATCCACTAATGTTCATCTGGTGAGGGTTTTTTCAGCAGGTCTGAATAAGAATCAGTCACACAGCAGACAGCATGTGCTTCTGACTCACTGCACTACTGCTGAAACACTCACAAACACCACAGCCACACAAAATACTCCATGCTCAGAATAAACATATCATTAGTTCAGTTATTATTGAGGTGCGTTGAGGACTGGGGAGCGTTAGTTAGACCGTTAAACAGTTTTTCTCCATTGTAATTTTACGGATTGTTTGGGCGGGGCTAAAACAGGGCTCGATGACGCACTGGAGCCCGTGAGCTCCTGGACACGCCCCTATTTGATGACGCACTGGAGCCCATGAGCTCCTGGACACGCCCCTATTTGATGACGCACAGAGTCTGATCTCTCCCCTAACACACAATAACACTCCCCGAGCACATTCGCATTCACCGCTCAATCGCGAGTGACTGTCAGTACAATTCAAGTTACTACAGCTGAGCCTACAGTTTTCTAGCTAGCGATGCCTACAGAAATGCAGAGGCTACTACCTGAATGCAATCATGTACAAAACAGATCGGTATCTTCATTTAAATTCCCTAAAAACGATCACATCAAGAAGAGGTTTTTAGAGAGCCAACCTTGATGAAGAGCTGAGGATCACCGCCAACACCCGCCTCTGTAGTGATCATTTTACACGGGATCGTTTTATAAACTTTCCTCAGAGACAACTATTCACTGATAATCCGATGCTGCTGGTGAACGGGGCCGAAACGACTATCTCCCGCTTTAGTGTTCATCCTCCCGTCCCGAAAGCAGTTTCAGCTAATATCACCGTCGACACTAGCTTTCCTGTGAATGGGCGTGGTTTCAGGACAGCCAGTGGACACGCCCCCAGCGTTTGAGAACTGAGATAACTGCTGATTTTTTCATGTTTTGATAGCTTATTTTATGTACCTGCCGGCTTTTTTTATCATTCAAATTCGGCTGTGTGGCTAATATCACATTTTTTTGTGGTGTGACAAACTCAGAACACATACTTAATTTTGACTTTACAGGGACTTTAAACTCTTGCCTCAAAGGTTTGGAAATGAAATCTATGGTTTGTGAATGTTTTTAAATAGTCTTATGAAATTTTTATAAAATTGTCTGTAATATAGCCTGAATTGATCTGTGCCGCTGTCTTGGCCAGGACTCCCTTGAAAAAGAGATTAGTAATCTCAATGGGATATTCCTGGTTAAATAAAAAATAAATAAGTGTTGAGTATTGTGGTGTGTTGAGTACTGACCTCAGCGTGGAAGTGGACGGCTTTGCTGTCACAAATCTGTAGTTGAGAAGTCAGATCTGAAACACGGCTCATGTAATGAGTTTTGATCAGATGCTCACGAGATTCCTGATCTGCAGCCTACGGCACACAAACATCATCATCATCATCCACATGACATGAGCGATTTAGCATCACGGTTTCAAATAGGCTGGAGAGATGATTATGATATAGAATATGATGTCTGAATCTGAATACACATAAGGTTATTTAAGAAAGTAAAACACGAATACATACGCTCTCGCCGCAGGACGTGATGGTTAAAATGCCGACCTGATAACAGAGACAGATGATAAAAAAAATTACAGCTGTACCAAAATTTAAAAATGTATATATATATTAAATATATGTATTTATATAAATGTATTTTTTATTTATTTATTTTTTAAATCAGTGTTTCCAGAGGTTTCCTGCTTATGGAAACCATTTTGCATTTTTAAAACTGTAAATTGAATGAAATGCGAGTAATTTCTATCCCAAACAAATAATCTACACAGTGTTTGTCAGTAACTATGAAAGGATTGGTGAGGCTGCACTGAACAAAATGTCAGGTTACTTGCGTAACCCCAGTTCTCTGCACCAATTACACCACGTCTGTCAGACTGACGGACCAATGTACAGCAATCTCTGCGCTAGACCATTGAAGCGCTTGAACTGGGGCCATTCACACTTACCTTTCTTTGTTTCCCCGGGGAAGGAAGAAAAGTGTTGAACTCTAAAGGGGAGGAGTGGAGGAGCAAACCCTCGGAGCTGCGTTCAGTCCCCCTGTGGTAAACGAGGCTCACTCCTATGTCGCCCGCCTCTTCTTGCCCCCCTGGGGATTGAAAGGACAGTGCTTCACCAAATGTCGTCTTCCTCTTCATCGTCGTCTAGAAGACGAGGGGATAATTCCTCATCATCTTCCCTGCCATTCCCACAAGGGCATCTCCAAAGAGAGGGCAGAGGTCCGGGGTCTCCGTGTCCATAATCTCGCCGCAGGTACCGGCTCAGGAGGCTGTTTAACTCGTCTCTGGGCTGAGTCTGAGTGGAGAAGCATGGGTCCTTGCATGGGCTATTGCAACTCTAAAGGCCTCATTATGCTTCTGCGTCAACTCCACGGTGTACTTACGCCGTCACTCATACGGTGTCGTGGCCGTGTTATGTTGCATCGCGGTGCATTTTACTGCCAGAACACTAGGGGTTCGTGAATCTCTTTGCTAGTTTGTTTTGGATCCGTGCGCCGGTTCCACTTTTTCATTTCCAACAATGGCGAGCAAATGAGAGAGAATGTTGTTGCAGCTGGAGCTAATCGACGTTGAACAACAAGACGACACACACTTTGTCCCCCATAGAACCAGTACGGATGTCCAGGACCCGTTCCACCCGAGCTGCTGTTCAGAATGACTTGAAGGCTGTTTTTCAGTCTCCACATGGAACTGTGCCATGGCAGGATAATGTAGTGTCCCGTTACTGTATTATCCATGATGTAACCGTGAACATTGTATTGTAAATAAACAACAAACTGTGTTTCAAAACAAACGTTGATTTATTGATTGATTGAAGTTTATTGCGAGCAAAAAAGAAAGAAAAGAATATAGACATATATATTAACAATGAGATAAAGAACAACATAGTTTATTTTTAGTTTAATTCTTTATAAGTGTATTATAATTATCAGTACGAGGGTGCAAATGTTAAAAATGGCGCTATAGCGGGAAGGGGAAATCGGAATAGTTACACTCATGAAATGATGTATAATCTGACCAATCACAGCCCTTGCTGTCTGCGTCGCCTCGACGCGTATGGGTACACATTTTTGGACGCAGAGGAGTCTGCGGGGGTACGCCGTCGATTCGACGCAGAAGCATAAAACAGGCTTAAGTCTCCTTTCACGGATCTTAGTAGGATAACCAGAACAGCCCCCTGGGTTCGAAACCGCCGCTTGGGCATGCTTAACACCCAAGCATGATATACAGAGCCAATGTCAATCTCTCGCCGAAATCCACAGGAGCGCATGCGAGGGGAGCATCCTTTCCTCCCGCTCTCGTCATTATATATGCATAGAATGACACAGCAGTTTTATAGCAGGGAGGCGGGACTCCCTGATCGCTGCAGTGATTGGTCTGTCAGTCTGACAGATGTGGTGTAATTGGTGCTTCCACAGCCGGTCACACCAGAGGCGTTCTTTAGTGAGATACCGAATGGATATTAAAAACAGAACCTCTAAATGGATTCCTGACTAACTTAAACACCTCTGACCTCTGATGTCTGTGATTGGCTCAACCTTTCACAAGCACACACAGGAGCATCTGAATGCAGTTGTCTATGAGGGAGACGCTCTACCAGCAGTGCTGTAGAAAGCCTGGTATCATTGCATTGTTACATTTCAGTAACGGCTTGGTACAGAGTTTCCACAAATCTACTATAGATGGGAAGAGTTTTATGGTCAATATTCATAATCCTGCTGGATTCCATGATTTCTGATGCATTTACAGTAATATACGCAAGGCAATTGTTTGCCTGTAGTTACACACACACATTTTCTTCTGTTTAAACTTTCTTCTGATTAGGGAGATGAACCACGGGTTCACCGTTCCAGCATGAGGTCACTCACCAGGCTGGTGTCCTGGACGGGCTCTGGACTATCAGGACGGGCAGCACCGGGTCCGTCAGCGGGGCTGTGTGGTCCTGCTGGGGTCCCGGATAGGATCTGAGCAGCGCCGTGTGGTTCTGCAGGAGACCCGGCGAGGATCTGAGCCTCCAGCTGAGCGATGCGCTGAGTCTCCTTCTGTAAACGCACCTGACCCAGCTGAGCCTCCAGCAGCCAGTGCTCCTTCTCCTGCTCCAGACGACACATCTTCTCCTGACTCTGGACAACCTGACAAACACACACGCCGTCAGACGGACGCCTGGACAGACCGACAGACAGACCGACCGGTTCAGGTACCTGCTGCATGAGTCCCTCTCGACTCTCAGTAGAGCTCGTCAGAACATGCCGGTTTGCTAAAGCTTCTCTGTACGGCACCGATTCTGGTCTGGCCTGAAAACACAAGAAAACATTCAAGGACTGACCTGCACAAATAGGCCTTGTAGCTGTCCATTTATTTGTGAAGTGCTTTCCACGATTGTCAAATATATTGTGCTGTGACCGATGCTGACCGTCAAATAACTCAAGCTATGTTACAGTAAGAGAAAACACCGTCTCAGTGAATCTATCTATCTATCTAATCTATCTATCACTGAAAAAACATCATATCATCAAGATCAAGTGCTTAAGCACCTCTCCACTTCCTGACGTTCCCTCAAGAAAACACTGAGAATATCAATAGAGGACCGATGCAACGGCCAATCTGTACCTGAAATGTTACTTATGCACTTTTATCTTGTTTTTATATTTTCTACTGTGTGGGAGTCCATTCTTCCCTCCTTTCTTTCCCAATTCAACGCTTGACCTGTAGTTTAAAGAACAGTAATAACGACTGTGACCTTCTGGATGGCGCTCATGTAAGTGGCGGCGCGCCTCTTGTTGTCCATCACGCTGTGGGCCTGCAGCGGGTTCAGGACGCCGCCTCGCGGACCGTAGCCAGGACACGACGCCAGGAAGTCCAGGCTGTTGCTGAAGAAGGTGGCCATCTGTGTGAGAGGAATCAGACCGTGAACCGGAGGATGGCGAGGCACCAGAAGCATGAGAGCGGTGCGTGTTGTGTATGGAATTAATTGATTAATAAATGCATTATTAAAATCCAGAATTACATGAATTTGCAATCATTTGTACAAATAAAGACATAGTTGTAAATACAAAACCTCGATTTTGTATTAATGTAGGTCAGAATTTGTGCATGCAACAAGTAAAATGTGCATTTTTGGATCAGCTGACGCATGCAAGGCAAGGCAAGTTTATTTATAGAGCACATTTCATTCACAATGGTAATTCAAAGTGCTTTAAGTGCAAAAAAAGTACCCAAAAGTATGAGAAACTCATCCCACACTTGTGAAACACAAGAGTGGTGTGTGTGTGTGTGTGTGTGTGTGTGACCTTGCCGCAGCTGCTGGTGAGCGCCGCCAGAGACGCCAGCAGACACTCGTTGGTGGTGCGCAGCTTCTGTGTGGCGGTCGGCAGCTCCTGCTCCAGGGAAACCTTCTGACTGTAGTGTGTGGACAGCTCTGAGGAGACAGCACACTTACACACCAGCCCACACTCTTATCAAGCTCAGATCGCAGCGGGACACACACCTGTGGTGACGTCGTGGAGGCTGTGCAAGCTCGCGCTCATCTGGGTGAACACGGCGTTAGCGCTGCTCTGACACATGGCATCTGAGCGAACACCTGCGGCAGAGAACATCCCTGACCTCTCAAACACAACACGCCACAACACGCCACAACACTCACACAACACTCGCACAACACTCGCACAACACTCGGACAACACTCGCACAACACTCACACAACACTCCCACTACTCCACAACACTCGCACAACACTCACACAACACTCCCACAACACTCCCACAACACTCCCACAACACTCGCACAACACTCCCACAACACTCCCACAACACTCACACAACACTCGGACAACACTCGCACAACACTCGGACAACACTCCCACAACACTCACACAACACCCGCACAACACTCGCACAACACTCACACAACACTCACACAACACGCCACAACACCCGCACAACACATTTGGACAACACCCGCACAACACTCACACAACACTCGGACAACACTTGCACAACGCTCCCACTACTCGCACAACACTACTCGCACAACACTACTCGCACAACACTCGGACAACACTTGCACAACGCTCCCACTACTCGCACAACACTACTCGCACAACACTACTCGCACAACACACACCACAACACTCCCACAACACTTGCACAACACTCGCATAACACTCGCACAACACTTGCACAACGCTGGCGATACTCACTGGGCACGGCTAGCAGAGCCACGTAAGACTTGAGTTTGTGGAAGACGGCCGAGAGCTTCTTCATGTCGTTCTGCAGCTGCTGGTTCCTGACCCTCAGCGCTGCCGTACAGAGAGAAGCGTCGCACTCCTCCTCCAGACTGCACACACACACACACACACACACTGTGGGAACTCTCCATAGACGTTAGGGTGTCTATACTGCACAGCTGAGGCTCTCGTCACACATCAGCTTCATTGACAGCAACACTAGCGCTCGTGACCCCGTGACCTCTGACCTCTTGAGCTGGTATGGCAGGATCTTCTGCAGGAAGCTGCTGTAGGCGGAGAAGGATCTGGAGAAGTCCTGCAGTTTGGCCAGAGTTTCCTACAGACGTAAAACACACGTGGATGATGATGTCAGAGACGCATGCGTGAGCCGACAACAGTGATGTCATCCTCTGTGATGATCTGGTGTAGCTGTGTGTGTGTGTGTGTGTGTGTCTCACCAGGACAGTGATGGCGTCCTCTGTGATGCTCTGCTGTATCTGCAGTAAGTCCTCCTCTAGGGGGCGCAGGTACGCCGCGTTCTCGTGCAGATACTGGGAGAACTGGAGAGGGCGGATCAGAAACACAGGCCAGAAACTTTAATCCCCGTGAGCTTAATTCATTTAATCAACACCACAATTTGCATAAAATGAGAACCGATTGAGAATGTTTCTTTCTGTCATGCTGTGGAAAGAGCCACATGAAGTTAACGAACGTGTTTGGTTGATTACTAACAGAGCAGAGGAAGTGTGTGTTCGTGCTGTGGCATCATGAGGGGGCGTGTCCTAGAGGGCAATAGCTGGAGCAAGATGGCCGCCTGTTTAGAACTACAAAACCCAGGCTTCCTGACAGCACAGCGTCAGCTAAGCAGACCGGCAGCAGGCTCTAATAGTGTGTGTGTGTGTGTGTGTGTGTGTGTGTGTGTGTGTGTGTGTGTGTGTGTGTGTGTGTGTGTGTGTGTGTGTGTGTGTGTGTGTGTGTGGCTGGGGAAAGGATATGTACGTCTGTGAAACAAAGAAGATTAAGTTGTAAACCTTCTGTTTGATTATCAAACACACCTGCACACTGAAGAGCTGAAGCGGAGTTACTGGGACACTGCACACACCTGGGTGACGTGTGTATTAACGGAGCAGGTGTGTGTGTGTTCATACCCTCTGGTTGACGTGTGTATTAACGGAGCAGGTGTGTGTGTGTGTGTGTGTGTGTACCCTCTGGTTGACGGGGGAGACGGCCTCGATGGACGAGTCGAGCGGGTAGATTTGGACTCTCTGCTCGGTGTAGGAGTGGAAGTTCAGCAGCGCCGACACCAGATTCTGCAGGAAGCCCAGAGCCTGAGCCGCCACATCACGAGCCTTCAGCTGCACACAGGAACAGGAAGTCAGCGCTGCTCTATCAGTCACCTGACAGCTGATGACACTACACACACTCACCTGATGCCGTCTGTTGTGCAGAGGAACGTTCAGACTGTTGTAGTCACTCGACTCTGAGGAAAACACAAGATTCACTCATTACACACATTAAGGAAAGGTTTGAGTCTGTGTGTGTGTGTGTCTGTGTGTGTGTGTGTGAGTGTGTGTGTTACTCACGGGTGTCATTAAAGGGCACTTTCTCCAGGATCAAACTGCTGCTGTGCTTTAACTGACTGCTCACTTCACTCTGATACTTCCTCAGCTGCTGCTGACTGACACACACACACACACACACACTAAATACATTGACTATCAACACCTTCCAAAAGATGAAAGTCAATGATAAAGCAGTTGTTATCCGTCTGTCACACTGTCTGTGTGTCGGGTGAGCGGTCACTGACACACTCATATAAACTGCCACACTAAACACCATAAAACTCTTCATCCACACGATCCTGCACGTATGTTATGTTATCCTGACTTGTCGTGTGGGTGAATGTGTATTTGGAAATGTGATGTGTAAATAGATTATGATAGAGTCACAGTCAGTGTGAAACAGGCACACAGATAACATTACTGCGATCCGATCCAATGTGCATATTTACCACTCTTCAGTTCTGACCCGACAGTCCTTGGCTTCTCTTTCCAGGGTCTGAGCCGTCACCTGACACGACATCATCATTAGACAAGCATCTCCTTGCACACACACACACACACACACACACACACACATCAGCATCTCCTCATTCACACACACACCAGCATTATCACACATGAAGAGCAGTAGGGATTTGCATGTTCAGCACTCGAGTCGAGTGTCATCATCAGACATCTTATAAACATGTCATGTGCTTCACTGAGTGCCGTTAATCAACACAGTGAGCGCAGCTACAACATCACAGACACAACCTTTCTAAACATGTTGTGTCATTGACATCCATAAGTGTGAAGCAGCATGACTTCGAGTACTCATGCCCGTCACTAATAATCATGTCTCTGACCTCGAGTACTCATGCCCGTCACTAATAATCGTGTTTCTGACTTCAGGTACTCATGCCCATCACTAATAATCATGTCTCTGACCTCGAGTACTCATGCCCGTCACTAATAATCGTGTTTCTGACTTCAGGTACTCATGCCCGTCACTAATAATCATGTCTCTGACTTCAGGTACTCATGCCCGTCACTAATAATCGTGTTTCTGACTTCAGGTACTCATGCCCATCACTAATAATCATGTCTCTGACCTCGAGTACTCATGCCCGTCACTAATAATCGTGTTTCTGACTTCAGGTACTCATGCCCGTCACTAATAATCGTGTCTCTGACTTCAGGTACTCATGCCCGTCACTAATAATCATGTCTCTGACCTCGAGTACTCATGCCGTCACTAATAATCGTGTTTCTGACTTCAGGTACTCATGCCCGTCACTAATAATCGTGTCTCTGACCTCGAGTACTCATGCCCGTCACTAATAATCGTGTTTCTGACTTCAGGTACTCATGCCCGTCACTAATAATCGTGTTTCTGACTTCAGGTACTCATGCCCGTCACTAATAATCGTGTCTCTGACTTCAGGTACTCATGCCCGTCACTAATAATCGTGTCTCTGACCTCGAGTACTCATGCCCATCACTAATAATCGTGTCTCTGACTTCAGATACTCATGCCACCCCTAATAATAGTCTCTCTGACCTTGAGTACTCATGCCCGTCACTAATAATCGTGTCTCTGACCTTGAGTACTCATGCTCATCCCTAATAATATTGTCTTTGACCTCGAGTACTCATGCCCGTCCCTAATAATCGTGTCTCTGATCTCGAGTACTCATGCCCGTCACTAATAATCGTGTCTCTGACTTCAGGTACTCATGCCCGTCACTAATAATCGTGTCTCTGACTTCAGGTACTCATGCCCGTCACTAATAATCGTGTTTCTGACTTCAGGTACTCATGCCCGTCACTAATAATCGTGTCTCTGACTTCAGGTACTCATGCCCGTCACTAATAATCGTGTCTCTGACTTCAGGTACTCATGCCCGTCACTAATAATCGTGTCTCTGACTTCAGGTACTCATGCCCGTCACTAATAATCGTGTCTCTGACTTTAGGTACTCATGCCCGTCACTAATAATCGTGTCTCTGACCTCGAGTACTCATGCCCGTCACTAATAATCGTGTTTCTGACTTCAGGTACTCATGCCCGTCACTAATAATCGTGTCTCTGACTTCAGGTACTCATGCCCGTCACTAATAATCATGTCTCTGACCTCGAGTACTCATGCCGTCACTAATAATCGTGTTTCTGACTTCAGGTACTCATGCCCGTCACTAATAATCGTGTCTCTGACCTCGAGTACTCATGCCCGTCACTAATAATCGTGTTTCTGACTTCAGGTACTCATGCCCATCACTAATAATCATGTCTCTGACCTCGAGTACTCATGCCCGTCACTAATAATCGTGTTTCTGACTTCAGGTACTCATGCCCGTCACTAATAATCGTGTCTCTGACCTCGAGTACTCATGCCGTCACTAATAATCGTGTTTCTGACTTCAGGTACTCATGCCCGTCACTAATAATCGTGTCTCTGACTTCGAGTACTCATGCCCGTCACTAATAATCGTGTTTCTGACTTCAGGTACTCATGCCCATCACTAATAATCATGTCTCTGACCTCGAGTACTCATGCCCGTCACTAATAATCGTGTTTCTGACTTCAGGTACTCATGCCCGTCACTAATAATCATGTCTCTGACTTCAGGTACTCATGCCCGTCACTAATAATCGTGTTTCTGACTTCAGGTACTCATGCCCATCACTAATAATCATGTCTCTGACCTCGAGTACTCATGCCCGTCACTAATAATCGTGTTTCTGACTTCAGGTACTCATGCCCGTCACTAATAATCGTGTCTCTGACTTCAGGTACTCATGCCCGTCACTAATAATCATGTCTCTGACCTCGAGTACTCATGCCGTCACTAATAATCGTGTTTCTGACTTCAGGTACTCATGCCCGTCACTAATAATCGTGTCTCTGACCTCGAGTACTCATGCCCGTCACTAATAATCGTGTTTCTGACTTCAGGTACTCATGCCCGTCACTAATAATCGTGTTTCTGACTTCAGGTACTCATGCCCGTCACTAATAATCGTGTCTCTGACTTCAGGTACTCATGCCCGTCACTAATAATCGTGTCTCTGACCTCGAGTACTCATGCCCATCACTAATAATCGTGTCTCTGACTTCAGGTACTCATGCCACCCCTAATAATAGTCTCTCTGACCTTGAGTACTCATGCCCGTCACTAATAATCGTGTCTCTGACCTTGAGTACTCATGCTCATCCCTAATAATATTGTCTTTGACCTCGAGTACTCATGCCCGTCCCTAATAATCGTGTCTCTGATCTCGAGTACTCATGCCCGTCACTAATAATCGTGTCTCTGACTTCAGGTACTCATGCCCGTCACTAATAATCGTGTCTCTGACTTCAGGTACTCATGCCCGTCACTAATAATCGTGTTTCTGACTTCAGGTACTCATGCCCGTCACTAATAATCGTGTCTCTGACTTCAGGTACTCATGCCCGTCACTAATAATCGTGTCTCTGACTTCAGGTACTCATGCCCGTCACTAATAATCGTGTCTCTGACTTCAGGTACTCATGCCCGTCACTAATAATCGTGTCTCTGACTTTAGGTACTCATGCCCGTCACTAATAATCGTGTCTCTGACCTCGAGTACTCATGCCCGTCACTAATAATCGTGTCTCTGACTTCAGGTACTCATGCCCGTCACTAATAATCGTGTTTCTGACTTCAGGTACTCATGCCCGTCACTAATAATCGTGTTTCTGACTTCAGGTACTCATGCCCGTCACTAATAATCGTGTTTCTGACTTCAGGTACTCATGCCCGTCACTAATAATCGTGTCTCTGACCTCGAGTACTCATGCCCATCACTAATAATCGTGTCTCTGACTTCAGGTACTCATGCCACCCCTAATAATAGTCTCTCTGACCTTGAGTACTCATGCCCGTCACTAATAATCGTGTCTCTGACCTTGAGTACTCATGCTCATCCCTAATAATATTGTCTTTGACCTCGAGTACTCATGCCCGTCCCTAATAATCGTGTCTCTGATCTCGAGTACTCATGCCCGTCACTAATAATCGTGTCTCTGGCGTCAGGTACTCATGCCCGTCACTAATAATCGTGTTTCTGACTTCAGGTACTCATGCCCGTCACTAATAATCGTGTCTCTGACTTCAGGTACTCATGCCCGTCACTAATAATCGTGTTTCTGACTTCAGGTACTCATGCCCGTCACTAATAATCGTGTCTCTGACTTCAGGTACTCATGCCCGTCACTAATAATCGTGTCTCTGACTTCAGGTACTCATGCCCGTCACTAATAATCGTGTCTCTGACTTCAGGTACTCATGCCCGTCACTAATAATCGTGTCTTTGACCTCGAGTACTCATGCCCGTCCCTAATAATCGTGTCTCTGATCTCGAGTACTCATGCCCGTCACTAATAATCGTGTCTCTGACTTCAGGTACGCATGCCCGTCACTAATAATCGTGTCTCTGACTTCAGGTACTCATGCCCGTCACTAATAATCGTGTTTCTGACTTCAGGTACTCATGCCCGTCACTAATAATCGTGTCTCTGACTTCAGGTACTCATGCCCGTCACTAATAATCGTGTCTCTGACTTCAGGTACTCATGCCCGTCACTAATAATCGTGTCTCTGACTTCAGGTACTCATGCCCGTCACTAATAATCGTGTCTCTGACTTTAGGTACTCATGCCCGTCACTAATAATCGTGTCTCTGACCTCGAGTACTCATGCCCGTCACTAATAATCGTGTCTCTGACTTCAGGTACTCATGCCCGTCACTAATAATCGTGTTTCTGACTTCAGGTACTCATGCCCGTCACTAATAATCGTGTTTCTGACTTCAGGTACTCATGCCCGTCACTAATAATCGTGTTTCTGACTTCAGGTACTCATGCCCGTCACTAATAATCGTGTCTCTGACCTCGAGTACTCATGCCCATCACTAATAATCGTGTCTCTGACTTCAGGTACTCATGCCACCCCTAATAATAGTCTCTCTGACCTTGAGTACTCATGCCCGTCACTAATAATCGTGTCTCTGACCTTGAGTACTCATGCTCATCCCTAATAATATTGTCTTTGACCTCGAGTACTCATGCCCGTCCCTAATAATCGTGTCTCTGATCTCGAGTACTCATGCCCGTCACTAATAATCGTGTCTCTGACTTCAGGTACTCATGCCCGTCACTAATAATCGTGTTTCTGACTTCAGGTACTCATGCCCGTCACTAATAATCGTGTCTCTGACTTCAGGTACTCATGCCCGTCACTAATAATCGTGTTTCTGACTTCAGGTACTCATGCCCGTCACTAATAATCGTGTCTCTGACTTCAGGTACTCATGCCCGTCACTAATAATCGTGTCTCTGACTTCAGGTACTCATGCCCGTCACTAATAATCGTGTCTCTGACTTCAGGTACTCATGCCCGTCACTAATAATCGTGTCTCTGACCTCGAGTACTCATGCCCGTCACTAATAATCGTGTCTCTGACTTTAGGTACTCATGCCCGTCACTAATAATCGTGTCTCTGACCTCGAGTACTCATGCCCGTCACTAATAATCGTGTCTCTGACTTCAGGTACTCATGCCACCCCTAATAATAGTCTCTCTGACCTTGAGTACTCATGCCCGTCACCTATAATATTGTCTCTGACCTTGAGTACTCATGCCCGTCCCTAATAATCGTGTCTGACCTCGAGGCGAGCTTTGTCGCTCTGCAGCTTCTCGATGGTGTCGCTGTATCTGCTGGTCAGATCATCCACTACAGTCTGATGCTGCTCAGACTCTTTCTCCAGCTGATCCAGTCGCGCTCGCAGCTGAGCTTCCTGTCGACGGAACTGCTCATCCGCTTCATAGAACTGAACACACAATTAAATAGTGTTATCACACACACACACACACACACACACACACACACGCACACACACACACACCTGGATTACCTGGATGTGAAGCCTTTCGTTCTCCTGGATCTTCTTCCGCAGATCTTCATCAAACACATTCTGTGCCTGCTGGTTAACTTGAGGTGGCGAGTCTCCTTTATTCTGCACAAACACACACATTTAAGACATTTATCCTTATTTAAAACCTTTTTAAAACTGAGTGGAGAAGCCTTTAGTTCAATACTGAACCCTCCTAAACCCTTCATTCTAAGAGTGTTTCATGAAATCAACTAGACTGTGAGGAACAGCCAGGAAAACAGCCAATAAACAAACTGTAATATGATGTTTGAGTGGGCGAGAGGTCAGAGGTCAGGTGGTGTACAGTCAGTATGTGAGGATTCAGAGGGTCTACTGTCAGTATGTGATGATGCAGAGGTCAAAGGTCAGCTGGTGTGCAGTCAGTGTGTGAAGATGCAGAGGTCAGGTGGTGTGGGGTCAGAGGTCAGGTGTGTATAGTCACTTTGCTTTTCCGGCTCTTGCTCTCGGACAGCAGCAGCTCCTCCTGCAGAAGCTCCACCCTCTTGGTCAGCTGCTGGTTCCTGAAGCTCAGACTGTCCATCTCCTGCTCCACCTTCCGAAGGCTCTGCTCCTTCTGCTTCAGCTCATCCTGACACACACACACACACACACGTATGAGCACACACATCCGCCCTGCACACAGATCTCCAGTGAGAGGAACACAGTCAGTACCTTCAGCGAGTTGCAGCCCGTCTGTTCATCCAGAACCGCCTTCTTTAACACCTGGTTCTGAGCTCTGAGCTGAGGAACACACACACACACACAACAGTGGGATGGAGGTTTTGATCAGAGACAGACACACACATGAACAAAGAAACACTTTCTCACACACACAAACAGATATACACACTCTCTCCCTCTCTCTCTCACACACACACACACACACACACACACACACACACACACACAACAGTGGGATGGAAGTTTTGATCAGAGACAGACACACACACATGAACAAAGACACACTTTCTCACACACACAAACAGATATACACACTCTCTCCCTCTCTCTGTCCCTCTCTCACACTCTCTCTGTCCCTCTCTCACACTCTCTCTCTCTCTCTCTCACACACACACACACACACACACACACACACACACACACACACACACACACACACACACACACAGCAACAGTATGACTAAAACACATGTAGATACTGTATATTTAACGCTAGGTGCTGGAAGACAGATGAATAAGAATAAGAGACTGGAATAATTCAAGTATGATGAGGATAATGATGATGATGATCTCACCTTTGAATACTCCTGAGCCAGTTTACTGTATTTGCTCTGCAGATCCGTCATGTTCGCCATGAGAATGATGTGTGTGTGTACAGTACAGCTGAGACTCTGTGTCTGACAGCCTCGGCTAATGCTAATGCTAAGCGGATATGCTCATGAATCAGAGAGGATATCGTAAATAAACACCGTGTAACGTATCATATTAAAATCTATGAGATCGTCGATTATTTTCAGTCAAATCTGTTAAAACTGTCCATATCATTTGATCTGTATATCGCCTCAACATCCATTAGCAGACAGGATGATGGCAGACGCATTACAAAATCACGCTGTCAAATCAAACTGCACGTAAAATACATCAGTCAGTCAAACAAATGAAATTACATTCACCGATTTCATATATTTTATCTCTCTAAGTAAGCGGCTCTCTCTGAAATAACCACAACCGGACTGATCACGTGAACATCACAACGGCACACTGACTGATCCTTTCAAAATAAAAGCACACACAAAATAAAACATCAGAACGGCACACTGACCCTTTCAAAATAAAAGCACAAAATAAAAGCACACACAACATAAAACATGGCTCTGCATAAAACATCAGAACGGCACACACTGACTGACCCTTTCAAAATAAAAGCACACACAATATAAAACCATAAAACATCAAAACGACACACTGACTGACCTTTCAAAATAAAAGCACACACACCATAAAAGGGTGATTCTCCAACTATGGTACTTTTTCTGTCCTTGACAGATATTAAAAAAAACTAAAAAACATTTCCACTTTTTTTTCCACACTTACTACATGTGTAGGGGAACCTATATATATATATATATATATATATATATATATATATATATATATATATATATATATATATAAACATTGTTCAATTCTGTTGTTCTATATAAAATAGGAGGCATTTTATATGCCTTTTTTTACTATTTTGCCTCTGTCCCTAGGCCAGACTTTGGGTCTTCAACCTTCTCTCACTTAAAATCTATTACTGATATAATTTTAAATTCAAACAGAAAGTATGCAGTATAACCAAATTCAATCAAATCGAATATTTTTATATATATTTATTTTCAATTTGACATATTTTAAACTTGTTGAACACTTGTCCCTTGGGTTCACTGTCATTTGCACACCTCTGCATTAACTGCGATTCCAGGCTCAGTGTTCTAGATTTGTATACTCAGTAACCATGTTAGCTGACACTCCAGAGGAACCCACATGGCAGAATGAAAGAATGGTCCCAGCAGAGGTTAATAAATTGGAGATATATCAGAGGTAAATATGAGAAATACAGATTTACAGCACATGAGTGCCGAAGTGATGACGTCACTTTGTAGGACGACTCGGAAGCTAGGGTTCCCTCGGTCGAAAAGCAATGCATTTTCCCCATAGACTTTTGGAATATCGTAAAAAATAAGATCTGTGTTTAACAAAGAGTTGTGACCCTTACACGTTTTGTCTATCAACATAATCTTTACAAGTTAATCCAAAATTTGAAGCCTATATAAAGATTTTTAAAAATTTGCCGTTTTGGCCTACAGAGTGACGTCGTAACTTCGGCACTGTATAGTTTCATCACAGGTCATGCTAGTAAATGCTGAGGTTATATCTGTCCGTGAAGACATCACACTTTGTTTCCTTTTCCAAGTGTAAATTCTGACGGTCTTTGCTTTAAAGTCACTCTGTCAGAATGATGTCAACATGGGCCATGTATTATAGTCCAGTCCTTTAACAGTCTAATGGTCCTGATGCACCTGAGGAAACATGGAGACTAATATGTAAAAGTGCATTATTGAAATAATAACAGTGAGGAAAGCAGATCATCAGAGCCGTGAAGAGTGTGTGAAGACCTGTAATAATGTGTGTTTCTAGTCCTCACAGGACCGTGGTAAATAACTTCACGCTGCAGTAAACGGGTTCAGTTAGAAGCTTTATTAGTACTCGTTAACATCAGACTCGTTCCTCGCGTGCAGAACAAGCGCTCGGGTCTCGGGGGATGCTCAAGTGCAGCTTTAGGAGTCGTCCACAGATAAATAGATTAAATACAGTAACTTCTTTTCAGGGAAGTTGCATGTAAACGTGTTCATTAGAGAAGTTCTACTCGTCAAGCACAGATTACCCAGAAACCCTCCAGCCAATCAACACTGTTACAGTAAAATCACAGTCATATCAACTAAAACAACACAAAAAGCCAATATTGGTACAATTCCACTTTGCCTCAGTCTAAAAGAAACACACTCGCTTCTGGAGGAGCTCCACGTTTCTCAGATTCATTATTCAACAAGAGATTTCATTAATTCACATCAGAGCCACTCGATGATGTCACAGTGAACACACAGAGGTGAAGACAGACAGACAGAGGTGTGTGTGTGTTTGTGTGTGTGTCACTCCGGCTTCTTCTTGGCTCCGGGAACCTTCCCTTGGATCCTGAGGGAACACAGACACACTGATATGAAGTGGATACTGGGACTCGAGAGTACAAAGCCTTCTTCACATAATAAATAATAATACTACCCAGCGACTCGTGGCGACTGAAAGGTGCGCGAGCAGTTTCAGTTTTGCTTTAAATATGTTTTTATAGTCTTGGCATTTAAAATAACTTGTTTGTAACAACACGAGTTTGCCCAGGTTCGACTAACGGGCCACTTCTGGAAAATGTGTGGTAAATATTGTTATAATTATGGGGATCGTTTGGAGACCCCTGAACTGTGACGCGACACTTCTCCCACTGACGGATTGAGTGTGTGTTATCTCTTTATGCATGTGAAAATAATCACCGTATCACGCAAACACACATATTTGTTGGTATTGTTTAATGCGTCAGTCCATTCTCATTTCTTTCTGATGTATTCCTGTCCTGTCAGTTAGCGGCTAACGTTCGACACGAGAGTTTCACTCACATCCCCAACACACCCCTCATCTGACTGCGGACCGAAGAGATGAACTGATCGATCTCAGCCTGCGGGAGACAAAGAGCATCAGCCACATATACACACACATATACACTCTCAAAACAACAACACACTCTCACAACACCACACACACACACACAACACTCACTCACTCTCTCACACACACACACACACACTGTTACCTGATGCTTCTCGTAGGTTATCGGGCCGCTGAAAGCTCCAATCAGAGCTGCAGTGTAGGAGATAAACACACGAGTGAACATCATTACGCTTGACCAGCAACTGTAAAGAACAACACAGACTTACACAACGGTCTTACCCAGAATGAGAAGCGTGAGTCCATTAAACCAGGAACCAACATACGTGAAGACCCACAACAGCCCGCCGAACTGGAGGAGAAACACAACGAACATCAACGGACACTCAAAACATTTCTTTCGGGAAGAAAGTCACAGTATTGAGTATGAGTAAGAAGAGGAAGAGTATGAGTAAGAGGAAGAGTAACATTTATTTTGGAGGAAGAGGATAAGAGGAAGAGTGTGTGGAAGAGAAGTCTTGAAGAAAAGGTGTTTTAAACTCTGACCTTGAGAGAGTCGACGAGATCCTCCACCAGAAACAGGCGGCGCAGCTCCTTCAGCGCTCCGTTGACCCGACCCAGAACAACATCACTGTGCCTCTGCACCGCCTCACTGGACACAGACAAGTCCTTCTCCAGCACACACCTGCACACATCAGGGAAGACCAGTGGGTCACACACACACACACACACACACACACACACACACCCCTCGGTGGCTCACCTGAACGGGTGTCCGTCATCAGACTTCTGGATGGCCTGCAGGACCCCCTTGTAGACCCTGAAGGAGACGGAGGCCGAGAGCAGAGCGAGAGCGGAGTAGGAGAGGATACTGATGATGCTGAAGCAGGTGAGGGAGAGGAGGAGGAAGAGGCTTGAGCCGAAGACCAGCGCACTCCAGCGCACGTCCCGCCAGCGCAGCAGCTGCAGCACTGAAACACACACACACACACACGAGCTCGCTCAGTCTCGGACAGCATGAAGAAGGGGGTTCATGAGGTGTTCAGGGTCAACATGCACAAGCTCTGGATAAACCAATCCACGCTCATGATCAGAGTGTTTCTGAACTCATGTTCCTCTGCAGATGTTTATCGCCACACTCACACACCTGTCGCGACTGACTGACGACTTCAGCGAACACCGGAGCGAGTTTATCCCCCGTCAGACGTCAGTAGAGCGCTCGGCTGTGATCACGAGTTAGATTTAATCGGCTCACCGATAGGGATGGAAAAATTACCGGTTTCACCATAAACTACGATAAAACGTCCTGACCGTTTACAATTTAATTATCACGAAATCAGTGTTCGATTATAATAAAAACTCGCGGTAAACCCTGTCCAGGCAGCATCAGTCTGACACTCCCAGCATGCAACAGTTTGTTTTGTTGGAGAAGACGGTGTACAGCAGTAACAGCGCTCGCGAGACTCATTCCCCATAATCCTCTGCGCCGCGGCTGCAGCTTCTCTGTGACGGCCGCTAGCGTACATGCTATTCTCTGTTATTGTTAACCCCACTAAAGATTTAAAAAATATTGTCAAGCACCATAAAGTTTTCGTGCACTATATCCCACGACGTCTGAAGCCGTTGGACAGCTTAACGCGAGGTTCAGATGAATATTTAAGTTGTTCAAGTTAATGGAAACCGTCCTCAGTCAGTCTTTCATCAGCGTCGCGTTCAGTTTCGACAGTCACAGGAGGAAACCCTCTCCAACATCAAGGCTCCCGTTATTACACTTTATTTGTAGAAAAGGATCTATATTTTCTCATAAAAGTACTTTATCTGGCTGGAGTTTATTTCTGTCTAAATCGTGAGTCTTCCTCGCGGTGTCGATCACACTGGAGAAGCACTTGCTCACGCTCACGGGAACTGATGTTTACAGCTGCCGAAAGAAACGGCCGTCGCACAGATATGATACACTAAGCATCGATATCTCTCCCCTTGTGTTCAGGGACTGTCCTTCAAGCGCTTCACTCTGCAGCGCTCCAGATGACCATAAGAGCTGCTATAGAGCTGCTAACTTTATTAGTTGTTTGTTGATTTCCAAATACTAAACTTGTTGAAATGTTTTCAGTGTGCGTATCAGTTCTTTTTGAACATTTTCATCTCATTTGAACAAAACTGTGATATTGGTAATCGTGATAATTTTGGTCACTATAATCGTGATATGATATTTTCATACCGTTACATCCCTATTACCGATTAAATGTTTCAAATCTTTGTGTCATGGCACACATACTGTATCTCCTGATTAACACGAATAACACAGTGATCCTCCTGGATCCTTCATCAGATATCACCAAAAGCTTTAACATGACGAGTACTTCTCGATCACAGTAAGAAACACCATCACGATATAGTAACTCGAGTCATTTTAATCAGAGACGCGACGGTTTAAAAATGAAGCCAGACCCTGTATTTCTCAACACTGTCGTTAAATGACTGCGGATTACATTTAGAAAGTGTTAAGCTCACACCAGACTCTTTGACAACCGGCTAGTTTCCAATCGTATCTTCGTTAATGATTGGAGAATTGTTTACGCTCGCTTAGAACAAAACTGACCATCATCTAAATCCCTAAACTAAATTTCTCACAGCGTTTACTTGAGCATCAGACTTTCACCAGTGACATACAATCACGTAGAACAACATTTATATCTCTAAACAGAACAAAACGACCGACATTTAAATGTCTTAATTGTCCTGATCAACATTATAAATACAGTACATTCAGAGGACCACGTGTATTATCGCCAGCACTGGACTCTCTATGGGAAAACACGAAGACTAAACAGTACGACTTCCTATAAAGCTGCTGTGAAAGCATGTGTATAGTGACACTACAGACTCGGGGTGTGCACAAACACTAACAACCGTTTAAAGGAGAATTTTGCAATCGACTAGTCTAACCCTTATCTAATATTGATTATTGAAATCAACTGAATCAATATGAAGGACAGGACCAATACGATTAAACCGAAAGGCCTTTTATAAATGGATTTCCTCAAATAAAACAAAAGCCTGCACAAGTCAGCAGATTAAGGTATAGTTGTTCGTTAATAGGTTTGAATTAATCGATCTGGTCACATGACGGGCCTGACCTGTACTGACAACTATTCACTATTAAACTGTTGTCTTATCGTTAGCAGCGGATGTTGATATAGCAACTGTTCAAATGTCAAGTAAGTTTCATTCATGTTTCTCATTTAATATGATATCAAATTTCATACCATATAGTCCCTCATATCCGCTAGTGTAAGAAGCCTAAAAGCAAGCCTAATTGTTATAGAAGTTTGACATGACAGAAGAAAACGAAAAAGTTCGAACTTTCGAAATCTTCCGTGCTCATCATCTGGACACTTCCCTGAACCGCCCGCGAGTTAGCACGAACGCAAAACAGGAGGTCAAATTAGATGATTTTCTTTTGCAGCAGATATACACTTTTCAAAAATAATATATATCAATGTAACGGTAACAAGACTGTAGTTTAAACATAGCCTTTGTAAAAATATAATGCAAAACATTAAAACGTTTTAGCCAGGAGTATTTTCCAAGTTGACTAGCAGTAGCACTGTCTTTTAATCGACTAGTCTCGTGAATCTCTACTATAGACAGTCTATGTGTGAGTTGGCCGTGACACTATAATGAGAGCAACCATACCACGCTGTATGAATATAGTAATTAAACTGTCTGATACCATTACTGAACCACTGGGACGCTTCATTTTAAAGTCTCCTGCTGTTTGAGATCCGTTTAAAAAAAGCATTTTGCAGATTGACAGAGCAAATTTGGTTCTAGTCCACCTAATTTTGCAAGACGCAGCAGCAAATCATTAAACGACTACTTTTGCCCCACCGCACCCAGAACCTTTGGCCAGACTATCTGCATGAGCTCTGATTCATCCTCTGTGAGCAAAGGTTGCACTGGGACAACAGCCCGTTTCAGCTAAAGGATCTGGACTCATTAAACACACGAGTAACTCCATCAGCGCGGCCGTCTAGCTCCACACACCCGCAGGACCGCCCTCAACATCCGCATTACCGTCCACAACGAGTTAGAGGATGAGGAAAGGGTCGTACCCGCGTGCTTCCAGTCTGAGGAGGGCTGTGTGTCCGCCGGCTCCATGTCTGCAGTGTGTGTGTGAGTGTGTGTGTGACTGAGGGATATCAGCGCTCAGAGGAGGCGTGAGGTTATAGAGGCGGGTCCATGTCTACAGCGTGTGTGTGTGTGTGTGTGACAGGGATATCAGCGCTGAGAGGAGGAGGAGGGGAAAAGTCTCCTACACACACACACACACACACACACACACACACACACAATCAGCAGACCCTCAAAGGGTCTCCCTCCAGCACCACACACACACACACACGTCACTCCTGAACACTATACATGCATGAACGGAGATTCACATTCATCAGTGCTGAACGCTCGCCACTCGTCTCTCATGAGCCGCGATAACCGCAATATTGTAGCGCTGCGATATTGACATGCTAACCGCAGAGGAATGCTAGCAACCGCGATATTTGCATGTTTTATTTTTCATAAGGCTACGCCCTTCTGCACTTAAGCTGTAAAAATGATAATAAGAATATGTTTAGCATTGTGATTTGTACAGAGGCTCCATAGATTTGCACTTAAGCTTAAACACAGAGAATAAGATGGACTGAGCACGTGCGATAACCTGCGTCCATGTTTGAGGACTAGACGTGTATTCGTAAAAGGGTTGCCATGTCCAAGGAAAGCGGAAACTTTGTTCTATCATCCTTTTAAAGGGGTTATAAAATGCCATTTATATACAAGTTAATATGATTCTTTAGAGTCTAAATAAAAAGTTTGTAATATACTTTAATTAAAAATTCTCAATAGTATTGTAAGAAAACACTCATTTTACCTGGTCAAAATCAGCTGTTTCAGCACGCCGTTTCAGTGCATATGCCTTTAAATGAAAATGAGCTTTGCTGACTCCGCCCCTCTGTTCTGCGCACGTGAAGCGTTGCCTTGACAACAGTTGAGGGAATAGTTTGGAGAGAGAACGGCAACGGGAGTCTCTGAGGACACATCTGTGCAACCGTATCGGTTTAAACCGGAGTCGCACCGGAACAAGATGACGGCCCGAAGAAGTTTGACAATTAAGGATCGAACAGGACGTTCCTGAATGGTTGGTTAACAAAATGTCACTTTGATCTATCTTTGTGTCTACTGGCAGGGTAGAGTAGTGAGATACAAATGCTATGCGTTTACTGATACGTTAACAGATTAATGGTCATGAAAAACTTTTTTTTGCGATTTGCAAAGATTAATATTCAGGTTAATAAATCTTCACACTCACTTCTTCTGGAGGTGCAGCAGGGACATGAATAGTTGGTAGCGATTCTTTTTTCAGGAGCAGCTTCTTAGCAAAACCAGCTTAATGTCGACCCTCGTTTATAAAGCAGTCTGATGAGAACTGATTTGCGAATCGCGCAAACATGAAAGCATTGACGTTGATCGTGGGGAATATTCTCTTCGAAAACAAAACTCAGCCACTGTGTCCTCAGCACAGTGATTTTAGTGGATTTAGGAACATCAGAATGACTGTGTTCGTTATTACACCCAAGAATAGGAAGAACACCACAATCGCTTAGACCCCATTCTGCTCTGCATCAACAATGGCGGACTATGATGACGGCTCGCTCAGAGCGGGGATGTGCTGAAACGCTGCTGTCAATCAACACTCGCGGGAGGGGCGTCCGATTTAATGACATATAAGGAGATTGAAACAAAACCACTGGATGGATTTTTATCATTATATAACGGTTTTGTACAGGCACTGCCAACACATTTCAATACAATCAAGTTTTGTAAAAGTGCATGTAACATTACATGACCCCTTTAACGTTTAAGGGCATTTTCCATGAATGGCGTCAACGCTAGTCAATGCATTGAATCAATCAGCAATCAAACCTCTGAGGTGAAGCATCAGCTTCAGCGTTACCCATGCTGAGCCTTGTTAACTCAAAGTTTTATAACAATTATTTCATTTAATTATCAATAATAATAATAAATATTATTATTAAAAAAATAATTAACACTTTGTTTCATTACATCAATCTTTGAATCAGTGTTTTTCGTTCGGTTTAATAACTCAAAATCCATCCTGGTGGCGTAACAGAGTAACTGCTGGAGATGAGCAATACTGATATGGTGAAATATCTCGTCCAGTCAGATTCAATGATCGGTACTAGCCTGACTGATAACAATAGCCAAACGAGCTTATTCTCAGCTTCTGTTATGTGGACCCTTATTTTGACATTCTCTGTTTAGTTTCAGTTTTATTGGTTAAATGTCCTTCTTTTCGTCCCTGCTGACCACAGCGTAACACTAATTTATATAAAAATAAATAAATAAATGGAGCCACTCAGATTTACCACAAGGGAAATTGCTTCACCGTAACAGCCGAGTCTCTCACTTACTGAGTCAAGGCATAAAGTCCAGTCGGAGTTGAGATAGACTGATGAGTGGTTTCAGTGCAAACACAGCCCCCCCGACGCTCTGTGACCTGCATTGCTCCATCGCTGCTGAGTATCAAGAGCCTAACACTGCAATACACATTATTCTTCGAGAAAACAATCCTGATCCCAAGCAAGTAGGCAATCACATACTTGTAGACTGAGCCAAAGTGCAAGAAGGTGGCTGGACACACACTGGATTCTGTCCAGACTACAGAAGTCTATAAAAACATTTAATTTTATTTTATGGATTGCATCGTGCAAAAAGTGCAAAGTGACAGACTGATCTCATGAAGTAGCGTGTGTATGACACGCCAATTCGTATTTCCATTTTTGCCGTGTTAACACGCATAATCGCTTTTCAGCGTGTTTATGAACGCCGTTGACTTAACGTTACTACTGTATATATAAATATATGACTTACCTCAACCCAGTCCCTAAACCTAACCATCACTGGGGTTAATGGCATTTATGACTGTTCCCTCACCATCCTAGGAAAAAAAAAGATCGCTCCCCAGATGTAGATCTACATTTTGCTTCGTTTCGCGCGGACATTTGACGGCGTCTACAGACACGCGGAATCATTGGGACGTTAATGGCATAGACATACTGGTGGATACACGTGGATAGCTCAAAATGCGTAGAGATAACACGCCACTTGACTCGAAAGTGCCGTGTATGTATACGCAAAAGTCATGATGTCATGTTGAAAGTGAATTAAAAACAATTGGACAGGAGAAAACGTTTCAGCACATTACCATCTTCCGTGCTGAAAATATATTATTCAGAATAGAGATCAAAGCAAGTTGTTCCACAGTCAGTCACCTTCATTTATACAGCGCTGTTAACAATATAGAGGTTTCTCAAAGTGATAATAGGAGATTAAAGTAACAGAGATTGTTTTGGTTATCAGTTATTGTCCAGCTAAAGTTAGTTTTGATTGATTCACTTCCGTCATAAGATCAATAGTTATTAACTTAGGGCCGCTAACACGACACCGTTCTAACAGAAAACACTCAACGCGCTCCGGCCGCTCACTCGCTCAACAACAGTGCTTGGTGTCTCGCGAACGCAAACTGGGAAATAGGTTCCAGGGTACAAGTCGTTAAAAATGTGCAATACAGAATAACACAGTGAGCGAATCAAACAGAAAGATCATGCAAACGGATAATGCAACATCATGCCGTGCCGAAGGTGAGATGCATGAGAGATATGGGGAAGAGGACAAAACACAAATGATGACCGTACACAGACAGAACACGATGGGTAAATGAAAGGTCCAGTGAAGGGAACGGGCTGTAATGACCTGATGACGGTCCGTGATGGATTTACCTGCCGCCGCGCTCCGATCTGGCATCGGGATCCCTTCAGCTTCAGCTGCCCTCTTCCCGGATCCAGCTTGATCCCCTGGAGGACGGGTCACTGGAGTTGGGGAAAGTTCTTGTAGATCAGATTCCAGGCCTGCCTTTCCTCTCCCAGCAGAGGATTTGTCTGACGCCGGGGTGGGAAGATGGTAGGAGATCTGATCTTCCTCTTCAGCTACAGATTCCAGTTCAGGAGATCGGTCTTCATCCAGCAACACTTCTGATGCCGGTTTCATGAACGTCAGGCTATCCTGCATCTCCAGAAAGTCCTCGGCAGCTCCTCGTGTCGGCCTCTCGATAAACTCGAACTCTTCAGAGGACGGCTCGGGCTCGGACGCCTCGTCTCGGCGCTCCTGCTCCGCGGAGAAGCTCGAGGGTTTCGGGGGCACCGCGTCCAACACCGGGGAGAAGGAGTCCGCAGAAGGGCTCTCAGAATCCCACTGTTCCTGAGCCTTTCCCAACGGGAAGTTCAGACAATCAAATTTGGGCGCCGTTTGAACAGAAGTCTGGCTTAACACCTCAACCTTGTCCTTCAAAAGACTGTCCGTTTTTTGAGGCACGTCCGTCTCTTTCACGAGATCGAAAGCTACAAAACTCTGCTCTGAGTTGTTGTGTTCTGCCAGCTTGGCCTTCTCTGCGGCCGCTCTCGCCTCCGTGACCTCGGCCATCTCCTTCAGAAGCAAGATCTTGGAGTCCAGAATGTTAGCAGACGCCGAGAATGGGGATTTGGGTGGATCGTTCCCTCTTCTATGAGCCGGGCTGAACTCAGGGCTTCCTTCTGATGAGCCAGAGTCCACTTTTTCAGGGTTCATGGGAGAAGATTTCAAAATATCTGGGAGAGACATCGGCCGGTCATCGGACGCCGTGTTGACATCGGAAGCATACGAAAGGGAAAGCTCTTGTTTGGCTTGTCTTGACTCTGACTGCGCATGAGCTTCTTCTCCGTCATACGCATCTTGGACCAGGTCTGGAGACGGACTGTCGGCCGGCGTTTCCCCGAGACCGTCGTTTAGAGGGGAAAACGCCTGGAAGGGACTCTTCTTCGTTTCAAACATGAAGTCGTCATCTGACTGGCTTAGCACATCCGGGTCGAATCCCGTCGAGTCCTTGTGTCCCAATGAATCCATAGTTAGCTCTGAGGCCTGTGAAGCTACGGATGGAGAATCCCAGCAGTCTGGGGGATCAGAACGAGACACGAACTGCGGTTAGCTGGAGTCTGGCTCTGTGGACGATCCTGTCAGGGTTCACAATCTTCAAGCTAAATGGCTACTGAAGATACAACACTTCACCTTTCAGACTTTGAATTCCAAGAATATGTCCTTCAATGAAATCTAATATCAGGTGGTCATGCAATTAATACCTCCTCTGAAAGAATGCAATATATGATGTTAACGGTTTTCCTGTAAAGATTAACTGATGCAAAGCATTGCAGACTTGTAGGAGACCAAGCTTCTCTCGTTACTCAGAGACTCGTGAAAGTCAGAAGAGAGGCAGAACAATCAACCAGAGCAAAATGCCACAAATCAAGATTAACGTCAATCATTTCATCCGTTCCAGGACACATTCTGCAAAGACTGAGGCTGCATTAGGGCTATCAATAGTGCCAGTGTTTGCATACCAATCAATTAAAAAATGTATCTTAATAATATCAGCAGTACAGCCTTAATTTGGTACATGGGTGCCGCAGTTACTATTGGTATATAGAGAAGGCTTGGCTCATGAATGTCAGTTCCTCCATACAGATATGTGCAGTCACATAACCTATTTAATATTCACGAGCTGCTCCCGTACACATAGAAATTTCATAATTTGCCAACGGATGAGATCTGACCAAACCAGGAAACGCTCATGGGCTCAACGGAAAACTCAATTTAAATTAATTGTTCAATATTTATCCAAGCATTTTAAATAAGTGGAGTTTTAAATGATGAAATATGTTTAGCGGACTTTAAGTTTATGTGGTGGTATTTAAAGGACTGAAAATCAAAAACTTCACTGGTATGGGTACAGATTACTGGCACATGACAAGCCTAGTCCAGATCAGTGAAAATCATTCCTCCATGATGTTAAATTTATACCAGGTCAAACATTACCCTAAATGCAAGCGCTAAACAAATGGCACCACAAAGATGAAAACAACATCAGCATTCTAGCAAAGAAACGTACCTGATGGAAACTGAGGCTGAGAGAGCGCAGGAGCGACACCAGGAGCAGAAGGAGGTTCGGGATCATCTGAAAAACAACCACACAAAGCCCGAGTCAGGGAGCGAGTGATTTACAGAAGGGGACGAGATTGGAGGTCGAGCGATAGTGGGTTTTACCGATACCGATATTTAAGTTTGACCATGCACCAATTATTGAACCGATATTTTTTTTACATGGATACTGGATTAAAAACAAACATAACATAACCAAGTGAAACAGTGCTGAACTGAAATGTGCTAAATTAAATAAATATATTACAATAAGAACTTCAACAGAAAATAATTTAAACATTAAAATATTACGGGTCAAATGTGTGTTTTTTTAGCTATAACAATTGTAAATTTCATAGGTAACACTTTGCAAGTCCCATTTGTTAACAAGGATATAAAATAGCTTTCATGAACTATGCATTATGCAATATACAATATAGGCCTAAAGTTTTACTGCATGGATTATAATTTGAGCAAAACAATTGTACCTTGATCGTTCATGTTAGTTTATAGTACATTAACTAAGGTAATAACAGATCAAATTAAAAACTCAATTTAAAATGTATTACTAAATGTTGAAATTAACAAACAGTGAATAATACTTCTACAACACTTATTAACCTTAGTTAATCCTAAAAAAGTAATCTTTTTGTAAAGTGTTACCATTTCATAAAAATTAGGGATGTCCCGATACCACTTTTTCACTTCCGATACCGATACCGATGCCGCACCTTTGGCTTTTGCCGATACCGATATTAGTCCGATATTTTTTTTTCGTGGTCCGACGTGCCGTATACGGCCCACAGGGTGGTTTATAGGTTTAACTTTGTGAAAGACAAAACAAAACAAACACAAAAGTAAACATAATACATATCTTTGGAAAGCTGAGAAACTCGTGATTCGAACGACGTAAACCATTTTAAGATACAATCAACACAGCGGGCACAATCTGTCTCTTTGTCAGACCACCAACAGCCAAAACAAACCAACACAAACTGGAAGAAACTCACCAATTAGCCATCTGTTAGTCCACATTCCAACAAAAATGGTTTGGTTTCACTGTAAAGCGTCCATACAATCCAATTTTAAGAAGTTTTTAGTCCAAAACAATTGTATATATGAATAAACATCCATGGAATGTAAATAGTAGCATTTCGCGTTAGCCGACAGCGCTATCACAACTTCGACGCACTAATGCTACGTTCACACCGGACGCGAATAGGGCGTCAGGCGCGAATGATTTCAATGTTAAGTCAATGCAAGAAAAATTCCTGCGGCGCGAATGAGGCGTGGAGCGCGGCGCGGAAGACGCAAATACGCCTCATTCGCGCGTCAAGTTGGCGCGAATGGCGCGAATTGAGCGTTGTGCATTCACGCGTTTGACGCGAATTCGCGTCTGCCGCCCGAGTTGAAAAATCTGAACTTTGGCGTGAATTCGCGCCGCGTTAACCAATCAGGAGCCTAGCTGCTTGCTCACGTGGTGAAGTGTCTGGATGCTTCAATAAATTATTTTGTTAATATGACTAAATGCATGGTGGGATTATGCACAACAAAGCAAATGTTTCATCACTTAAAACATTATTTCTATATGGAGACATGTTCATTTTGTATTGAATGTTATTCATTCCATATCTAGAAATAGTATTATGTTGTAAAGACAGACATCCCAAGTCTCCCGAAAGTTCCGGGAGTCTCCCGCATATTGATAGCGTCTCCCTGATGCCCGCAAATTAGTTCAAATCTCCCGGAATCTAGAGCGAGACATACTGCGCGCATAACATAGGCTACATAGCGCGCTATATATATATATCAACATATGTGCATGCATACATTCGTGTCTGGACGTGAGAGAGAGAAAAAAAATCACAGGACAGGTTAATAACTTTTGAAGGCTGGCTCTATTTATTATCAAAACAAAAATAAATGACAGCTAGATTAGATGGATGAGGAGCCGGGCGAGGGTGATCCTCGCTCAGATGCGGGACAACAGGTCATCAAACTGGGCGCGTGACAGGCGGAAGTACCGCTGACAGCGGCCGTCATCCAGCGCAGCTCCTGGAGCGAGCAAATGGTGAAACTCGCCAAACGGTTCGGCTCCGAAGGGTCCGGTGGACACAAATATACGGCGACGATGATCCCCACGCCGCTGTTCTGCTATCCAGAGTAAATACAGAGCGGTAACTCTCTTGATGAATGCTCGGTCGACATAAAAACAATGACCGCCAACGGATTTTGATTCTGACGCGCGTCACGCGCGTAAATTTCGCTTCAAACTTTACGCGCGCCAGTTTCGCTCTCTCTTTGAGTGACAGTTTATCTATCCAGTTGCAATAGAGAATGAAATGACGCTATTTTCTGATAGCCAATGAATTTCTGAAAAGACTGAAATGCAGCTTTTGTGGAATCATCCGATTACATTAGAATCCGTGCGCAAAAGCGAGAGTGATTCTCTGCGCGCGTGTGCTTAAACACAACAATCATCACGTGACAGGCTGCGCCGCTAAACTGGATATCGCTCATATTTTTTTCTCCCCTCCGATCTCCGATCTAGCGTTCTGGGCCGGTATCGGCGCGATACCGATGCCGTGGATCGGATCGGGACATCCCTAATAAAAATCCAAAGAGTCATGCTTAAAGATGGCCATATTTTAATAACTGCAAAGGTCATTCGAACGCTGTTAGAACACTTGAGGATCATCTAAACAAAATAACAATATTGAAGTGATAAAAAAATAACAGCTGGATGAACATATCAATGAGAGCAATCACGTCACTAGCTTTAAATATGGATAATGCTAATGAATGCATAAAAGTGACCAGCCGGATATAAACTAAAGGAAATAGATGGTTACAATTGCGACATAAAACATTTGGGTCATGTCTGTCTCCGTGTGTGTTTGTCACATTGCTTTAAATCGCTTGAGGTAATCGTTACCAACTCCTCTCAGACTCGACAGCAAACACACTGCTGTTATTTCTCTTCTAATGAAGCATCTAGTCAATAAATTAATTACTTTATAATGATACGGCAATATTTAGTGTTCTGTATTCATACAGTTTCGCTGTCTGTGTATTAAACGCGCATCTGAAGTGTCAGCGCTCTCTGTGCTGCTGCTCTCAGCTAACTTAAAGTCCCTGTAAAGGTAATTCAACAAAAAAGATTTAAACACATTATAAATGTTACATGTATTCCTAAGGCATATCACAAAGACTGTGAAGTTCTGAAATACAGAGTTCGACCGTTAAACAGTTTTTCACCCTTGCAATTTTACGGATTTTTTGGGCGGGGCTAAAACAGGGCTCGATGACGCACTGGAGCCCAAGAGCTCGTGGACACGAGTTTCTGTCAGTACTATTAGTTAATACAGTCTACAGTTTGCTAGCTTGCTATGTCTTTGACAAGGAAATACTACATGGATGCGATCATGTACAAAACAGATCGGTGTCTTTATTTAAATTTCCTAAAAGGCGATCACATCAAGAAGAGGTGGATTATTTTTGTGTAGAGCCAACCTTGATGAAGAGCTGAGGATCACCGACAGCAACACCCGCCTCTGTAGTGATCATTTTACACTGGATCGTTTTATAAACTTTCCTCAGAGACAACTGGGATTCACTGATAATCCGCTGTTACTGGTGAACGGGGCCGGACCGACTATCTCCCGCCTCAGTGTTCATCCTCCCGTTTCAAGAGCAGTATCAGCTAATATCACCGTCGACAGCTTTCCCGCGAGTGGGCGTGGTTTCAGCACAGCCAGCGGACACGCCCCCAGCGTTTGAGAACAGAGATAACTGCTGATTTTTTCATGATTTTGATAGCTTATTTTATGTACTTGCCGGCTTTTTTATCATTCAAATTTGGCTGGGTGGCTAATATCACATTTTCCTGTGGTGTGACAAACTCAGAACACATACTTAATTTTGACTTTACAGGGACTTTAAACACCTCATCCAGTGATCGTGTGTTATCTGTCCTCTAGAGGGCGCTCTCGCTCTGTATGATGCCAATGAACGCGCGCACTTCTCAGCCGCTCCAGCAACACGGAAAAACTATCGGTGTGGGTTTAATCGGTCGACCTCTAGACGAGATCATTATGCATTCAGCTATGTGTAGGATCACAAAACATCAGCGATTTCTCAAAAAAAACAAAAAAAAAAAATCCCAGGCTAAGAATCCCATGTGAAAAACACCAGAGTAAGTGGTAATCAGGAGCCACTTTTGTGGTAGATATTAAAAAACTAATCATTATGTTAAAAAATGTATGAATATAATGGCATTTTCTCCAGAGGCACCATCGGTTATTCTGCAGTTTGTAAATATATATAAACAAAATAAGCAGCAGCTTTCAAAGCGGCGTTACATAATGTGCAGAAGTTGCTGTAAGAGGCACACAATCCAAAGGTTATTCAACCACACCTGAACAATTACACTGAAAGTCTTATCTTCAAGCGTGGAATCAAGTTTGACTATCTGTGATTATTGCACTGCTGTTCCGCTTGCGTATGAGAGGCATCAAACGAAATGCTCGTCTGGGCCGTTCACCAGCTTTATACAGCACAGCGAGAGTGTTTACTCGCAGATCGTGAATACTGTCGCTTATTTAACTAAATTCACATCTGCATACTCAAACTCACTGTGCATTTCCATGAGATTAATAGTAACTGCGCTTCTTAGTAAAGCCGTAATACTGAGATGTTATTGGTTTCCATAGCTCTCTTAGCTCTGGATCAGATAAGATTTAACAGGAGCACAGCATCACTCAACACTCACTTAACATTGTTCCACTCCGAATGGAAATGAGCATGAAGATGTCTCAGTCTTTATTTAGACTAATTGCTGTCCTAAATAACACACGCTGAGAGATGACAGAACAGAGGATCATCACACAAGCAATCTCGATACACGCTTCAGACTCAAACACCATGGGTAAAGCAGGGAGAGTTTGCCTAAACCAGGTCCGAGATCCGCTGTAGCCGAGTCAATGACTCCAGCTTCCTTTGCAGAGCAAAATGCATTCAATATGAACAAGTGATGCACCGAAATTAAAATTCTGTGATGAAACCAAAAAGTTTAAAGGGATAATTCACCCCACAATAAAAAATTCTGTCATTTATGCACTCTCATGTAGTTCATTCATCATTCATCTTACGAACAAAACTAAAAATCTTTTATGAAATTGACAGCTACGCAACTAAAAAATCATAAAGAGATTGTAAAACGAATTCGTATGAATTGAGCGGTTTAATCCAAATTTCCTGAAAAGAAAATCCCTTCATATGATGAACAGATTGAATTTAGGCTTTTATCCACATATAATGACTGATCAGCGAACGTAAACAGAAGCTCAACCGAACCTGTTTGATGCGTGAGAACAAACCTATCACCGAAGCTCAAACGTGCTGCGAGAATGAAGCTCATTGGTTCTCACTGAAGCTCAAACGTGCTGTGTATTTAAGAGCGAACTAAATTAATGCTCTGCTAGTTAACTGGAGATGTTGTATTTGTATTAGGTACATCCGTGCCTCAATGTTTCCAAAAGTTTTGGGTACAAAATGACTAATGACGAAATCTGGTGGGGCGCATACCCACTGTGCCCAGCGAAATCAACGATGCCTATGCACCTAGGCACAAAAAACCCCCAATACATTTAACGTTAGATTTGGTAAAATATACAATGATGATGTCTATGTAAGAGGTAATAATAATCCTTTCCATTATAATTCGACACGTTTTATTCATCAGATACACATTGAGTAAGTACTTTAATGTTTACTCTAATTTAGAAGATGGAGTTGGTGAATAGTACACTTGCCCCAAGTGAATTCACCATCGCTCAGGGGCAGCGTCAGATCATTTTTAACACAGGTGCGGAGGGGGTGCTAGATCATTGACAGGATGTGCTCCAGTTCACGTGCCCGCGCCTCCATATCATGATCATATTGTCTACAATATTTGCTTCTTATTTATTAAACCAGTCAATTCGTTGATGAAAACATTGATTAAAATGAAGATACAATTTATACCAAACGAAATTCACTTAAAAAATGTTTTGTTTTTCGATATATGGTGGCTCAAGCATTGATGGATTAAGGAGCAGTCCATCAGTGCTTGAGTCACCATATCGCAAAACATTTGGAATGGGTCAGATATAATTCTGACTTATTACGTTTTAAGTGAATTTCCTTTTTTCTAAATTGTATCTTCATTTTAATCAATGGTTTCATCAACAAATTGACTGGATTAATTTTGCCATTTGTAGTAAAAACTTGAAATATACATTCTTAGAAAATGCATTTAAAATCAATATATTGAAACGTCTGTTTATATACTCCATTAATAAAGGAGTCTAGGCAACGTAATGCCTGGACATGAAGCACCCCCCACACACACACACAAAATAGTTCCCACGTCCCTGCTTGGGTCACTACCCGAACCCCGAAGTTACAGACCCCGTTAGCCTATGACAGACGTCATTCAAACTAGTGTAAGTTGCATCCCATCACAAGGAGTTTTGACATATATTATGAGGGTTGAAAAACTACATAGTGTTGCTTTAATGCATTGTCTAACTCAGTGCTTCCTAAACCTTTCCTGAAGTATCCCACAATAGCACATTTAGGACATCTTCCTCATCTAAAACACTATCACAGACTGCATCTTCCTCATCACAGACTGCAAGAGCTGAATTGGGTGTGACTGATGAGGTAGACATAAAAAAATGTGCAGTAGGCTACTCTGGTTATATACTGTATACAAACACACGACATTAATACAAAAATAAACATCATAAACAACACACACACACACACACATGTATAAAATCACAAATATCATCTATATTAGAGGCTTACATCATACATCCCCTTAAAGCATCAGGCGCACTGCGTGTCTTTGTTCATGAAGCGGGTGGGCCGCATCGACCACAGCTCACACATAATGCCTCATCATCATCATCATCATCATTCCACATTTCCTCAGCAGGAAACAAATATCACTGCAACACTGCAGCATTTCACAACATCATGCCGAATATCTGCTCACTCGCTTCAGCCTCACTGTATCTGATCGCTTTAATATTCCGACGACAAATTCAAATTCAGAAATCCCCGCCACCCCCATCGATATCAACACAAATACCGCTGAAATTAATGTTATACTCACTGGATGATGATGATGGATGAAGAGTGTGCGGGTGTTGTTTCTCCTTCTCCTCCTCACGGGCGTCGGATGAGAGAGTGTGTGTGTGAGCCGAACACGAGCTGCTGATCTCCGGTGCGGGACTTTCAGCGGACTTCACCGGAGTCACGCGCTCCTCTTCCATCACTGTCTGCTGAGATGATGTTACTTCTGATGTTATTTCGGTTACAAATGGAGTAACTATTTCCTCCGCGTTAGTTACGGCTTCAGTTACAGGCGAAGTAACGCTTTCCTCCGCGTTAGTAACGGCAGTTACATGTGGAGTAACGCTTTCCTCCGCTTTAGTAACGGCTTCAGTTACATGTGGAGTAACGCTTTCCTCCGCTGTTTTAGGAGTAACGGCAGCTTCAGTGATCGCTGGATGTGTCTGTGAAGTAGACGTTACTTCTGCCTCTGTGCTCGTCTGCTTCACTGGAACTTCACTTAACTTTTCAGGAGTAACGCTTTCCTCCGCCATCTCTGGCGTAACGATCACTTCTGCTGGCTGTGGAGAATTCGTTTCTTCATTAATTTGTGGAGAACTAGTTACCTCATCAGTTGTTTGTGAAGAACTAGTTACCTCAGTTGTTTGTGAAGCACTAACGTTAGTTACCTCAGTTGTTTGTGGAGAACTAGTTACCTCAGTTGTTTGTGGAGACTCGGTTGTTTGTGGAGAACTAGTTACCTCAGTTGTTTGTGAAGCAGTTACCTCAGTTGTTTGTGGAGAACTAGTTTCCTCGGTCCTCTCCTCCTCCGCGTCGCGTGTCTGACCGGCTTCATTCATGATCGCAATATCGTGCGGAGCCTCGTCAGGTGCACTGGATGATGAAACTTTGTCTGCTTCTTCCATTTGGAAGCTGTGCTTGCTTGGTATACGAGTGTGTTGGGCTGGAGGTGAAGGGGGACAGTAACCCGCAGAAGAAACGCAAACTCTCTTTTATTTAGGAGGAAAGACGCCGAGGCTCGACAGTGCTCAAACTTCACAGACTCCTCGAAAGTGACTAAGCGGAATATTATTGATACCACCGACTGGAATCGTGTGTCCAATCACTTAACACCATGGTTGAGTGATGTAACCAATGACCAATCGAGAAGCAGAAGTGCGCTAAGCCCCGCCTACTTTTCCTCATGTTCGCTCTCTCTCTCTCTCTCTCTCTCTCCCTCTCTCTCTTTGTGCTTTCGGTCAGGGTTACACCACAATAAACACACGAACTAAAATGAATTACTCTCTCAAGCATTTGCCTAAAATCAGCACTTAAATTATTCTTTATTTGTGGTATTGTATTATTTGTTTTTGGATAAATAATAAGATAGAAAGAAATGCTGTAAAGTTATCTATATGCAGTTGGTGTAGTTAGTATGTTGTGCCGAGTAAACAGTGCTATATATAAATGTAAGTATATCCCACGTGTGCTATATGTAGGCTATATCTCACAGATCATGTTTCAAATTTGTGCACATGCCATGACATCCATATGTAGCCAATATGTACAGTGTGTTCTGTGAATGTTGGATTGATCTTGAGCAGTGTATACTCTTTATAGTCCACTATAGAGAGAAGAACATCCCTGTCAACATCTGCTCTGCATCAGATATAGCAGATTCTGAGCACTGCTGTTCCTGTCACTCAAAACACACACATACCGTCTCATAGCCATAAGAGCAGACACACAATCCCTCTCAAACATCCACTGGAGAATTTATTACAAGCAGTTCATGGAATTAAGCAAATACCTGCGTAATGTAGCCTAATCAACTGCTTGAAATGTTTCTCCAGCAAATGTTTGAGCATTAAGTCGAAAGGGACTGTGTCCCTTTCCTTCAGGCATATAAGAGACAAACGTCTGGGTTATGATGGTTGTTAAAGGCCTCATTGTGTGGTAAAGTCCATCACGAAACAGCTGTTCAAAATAAAAGTCAAAGTGATGAGTAATATATTAAAAGTAATATATTGTCAAAGGGAGAGTTCAAATTCTGTCATCATCTGCACCTTCATCGTGCTGTTCATGAAAGACACAGGAGTCGAACATCACTGATTGATTTCCTCTGGAAACATCTGCAGCTAAAGGTCTGAATGACATGAGTGTGTGTGTTTGGGTGAACCCTTGTGCGTGTGTGTGTGTGTGTGTGTGATTCAAACTGATCTGAGCTCAGGGCCTCTCGCTCACTGAGAAAACAGACCAGAATAAGCATGAGCATCTGTCCGAGATCACGTGTGTCAACTGGGACTCGAACGGGGTCTCTGAGGCGCTTTCAGTCAAGTCGAGTCAGCTTCATTTATATAGCACTTTTAACAATATAAATTGTTTTCAAGCAGCTTTACAGTGATATTAAAAAATTAAAGTAACCGATTGTTTTGGCTTTACAGCAGCTTCAGAATAAAGTTCAGATAAAGTTAGTTTTGATTGATTCACTTCCGTTCCCAAAGATCATTAGTTATTAGCGGCCGCTAACACGACACGTTCTAACAGAAAACCTTTAAAGGTCCCGTTCTTCACGATTCCATTTTTCAAACTTTAGTTAGTGTGTAATGTTGCTGTTAGAGCATAAATTATAGCTGTAAAATTATAAAGCTCAAAGTTCAATGACAAGCGAGATATCTTATTTAACAGACGTCCCCTTTCAAAGCCTACAGCGAACGTCTGGTTTGGACTACATCCCTCCACTTCCTTTTTTAATGACGTAATTAGACTAATCTCCACCCACATGTACACCTATAAAACATATATTACTATTCAAAACTCGTGCACACAGTAGGAATAAACAACGGGCTTATTTAAAAAATTCAACAACACCATCGTTAATTTGACAGATGTAAAAAAACACATACCACAAGCTTGCATAACAGTTTGAATCATTTAGCATAACAATTTAACCAATTAAAAGTATGACAACAACTAACCACTGTGAAACATCTGCAAAAGTCGTGTTTGAACAGGTCGTGTTTGTAACACACCGAACAGGGTCTCCAAACGCCAGTGTGTAACACAGAAAAGAAACAATCATATTCATCAAGAGTCACACATATGGACACAAGTGCAGTTCATCAGATACGTGCAACAGATTCAGATTCAGAACTAAATCCACATCATCCTGTGTGTGTGTGATGATGATGATGATGACAAGTCTGTGCTATTTCTTCAGGACTGTAAAGTGATATGTGAGAGGCATGATCGCACCATCCAGACTTTCACAATGAATGTTGTCAGAATAAACATGAATAAGCGGTAGAATGAAGATCTGAACATATAAGACAGTTATGCATCCATTGTTTCTGAGTTATTTGAGTGTTTTACAGTCACCGGACAGACTGACAGTGTTTGCGTTGCTCAGAGACACACGGCTCATCCTGTTTTAGCTTCATGAAGAACTATTTTCATTAGCGGAGCAAAGATAGACTAAATATCTGTCCATGTATATATAATTTCATCATCTGTCATAGTCCTGAATGAATCATGGTGTAACCCTGCCTACTTAAAGAGATAACAGGTAAATCTGATATAAACGCTTTTACACAGCAGTTTTATTTAAGAAAGTCCCTTCCATATGGGCATGGACAGAAATCTTATAAATAAAAGAACAACATAAACCTACCCAGGCAGTACACTGAGGTACAAGTGGAGTGAAGAAATACATAATACTCCAAACAAACAATTCATTCACCACTGCATCCACTAAAAGTAAACACCACACGTGCGCCCACTGTCCCTCGAGTGCAACCGCCTGCGAACACCTACAAAGAAGAAACACAAACACATTCAAACAGATTAGCAATCCTTCATTCTAATGAATACCATGCTATGTCATTATTTCCCAATAAATCCAGTCAAAAGAAGAGGAAACTTCTTAGCAACATATGCTGAGCACACAGTTCATTTAAACAGTTCCAACACTCACAGTACAAACATGACATCATGACTTTTGCGTAAACATATACGCCACTTTCGAGTCAGGTGGCGTGTTATCTCTACGCATTTTGAGCTATCCGCGTGTATGTCTACGCCATTAACGTCCGCGTCATTCCGCGTGTCTGAACACGCCGTCAAATCTCCAGTCATAAATGCCATTAACCCCAGTGACGGTCAGGTTTAGGGACGGGGTTGAGGTAAGTCATATATTTATATAACGTTAAGTCAACGGCGTTCATAAACACGCTGAAAGGCGATTATGCGTCTTGATAGCACGCCAAAAATGGAAATACGAATTGGCGTGTCATACACACGCTACTTCATGAGATCAGTCTGCACAGTAACAAAACAAAAGGTGGTTACCTGTCCACATGCCAACACCATTACAGCTCTGTTTCTAATGGACAACTCGATCGTGGCAAGTGATGTGGATTAGAATGGAGGCCTGCTGTCCCTCTTGAAGTTCTCCTCAACTCTTCTTGCCGTCCAGTTTCTTTTTAACCCGTACATTCAGACTGGCCACATCTGCTGGCCCTCCAATGAGGAATGTGCAGGAAACACAGGGTTATCGAGGTGACAATCGGAAAACACAAAAGAACAGTTAGGACTCTCCATATCAAGTTCAGTACTTTGACTGGGAAGTCCTAAATCATCTGTTTCCATCACAGGAACTGGAGCATGCGCTCGGTCCTATTCCGTACTGGTCCCTCTCCTTCGACTGGAATTACAGCATACACAAGTTTCTATCACTGGTGCACCTTACAACCTTAAACACTGTGGGGTCCATATTGAGTGTGACTGAATTTTTCATCACAAACTAAACATGTGCACTTTTCCACTGTTAATGATCAAAAGAAGAGAAGTGTCAATCATAGAGTGTGTGTTATTACACTGTATGTGTTTATTAATCAGAGAAATGTAATGTTGAAGAAGGAATGGATAGAAAGCTGATGGACACAAGCATTTACTTTACTCAACTATATCTCTTTCTTCTACTGCTCTACATCAGCGCCACATAGTGGACATAAATATTACAGCAATGCAACGGAGAGAGAACCACAAGAAAATTCATCAAGAACACAATTATGAACATACAGTACAAATGCAAACGAACCAGCATTCAGTAAATCACATGTGCAGTAAAGCATGATGATAACGGCCTGACTTTCAGAGTATTTCTAATGTTTTAAGAACATTATTAAAAAAAACAGATAACATTGAACGAACAGTCTATTAATGTTACTGGGAAAATGTTTGTTCATAACTTTGAGAGAGAAACTTGTTTGCTGGGTAAAATATATCTAAATATATCTAAAATAATATAGTATATCGAGGGCTTGGAACCAGAGGGGCGTAAGTGGCCATTTAACAAACTTTACAGGAGAGCCAAAACAAAATTTTGACCACACTTCAATCAACTGTATTTATTAACCTTCAACCACAACATTCTTATATGAGTAAGTTCTTAAGTGAAGATATTATGGCATATTAACACAATAAATATATTATAAAACCTTGCAAAATCTTGAAAATATGGCAAAAACTAACCCTAACCTATCTGCTGATCAGTGCAGAAATGATTTGTCAAAACATTGGTTAAAAACCCTCTAACTTTTCATTTTATTTAAAATACTGTATACGTAGTCATTTAATTTCATTATTTCAAACTGTTTAACATTTTATTTCTAACCGTTTAATTTAAATTCTCATGTATGAGTGTTAAACAGTTTAAATTTAATTTCAAACAGTTTAATTAAAATTTTTATTCATGAGTTCACATTAATGCATTTCATTTCAAACAGTTTAACATTTTGTTTATTACACATTTCACTTTTTACACTCAAAAAATGTTTATGTTGGCTTTACTTAACTTTTTAATGTAACCAGGTTCCATACATTTACTTTTTTTTAATGTCAACAGGTTCCACATACTGTAACTGGGTTACACTAAACAAACATAATTTGTTCTTGTAACTTCAACATGGGGTTAAGTCATTAAGTCATTTTAAGCAACCCAATTAAACTCTGAGCTGAGTGTTAAATGAACACTACTATATCTCATTAAAGTTAATGAGATAATTAAGTGAACAATTGAGTGATGGTTGAGCATCATTGAAGACACCTAAAGCAGAATCACTGAAGGAGAAAACCTGAATTGTAGGTCACCGTTATGGTGATCGGTGTTTGCTTTAGTTGGGCTCTTGACCCTTAAACCAATGACTTTAGATTTTGTTTGGCTGGTCAAATAGAAAAGGTGATCTGATGGTGTTGGTTGTGTTTTAACATAATCATTATATCACAATCATTTGACCTGAATCACTGAACTCATATAGAACTCAATTTCTAAGTTATGTTTACCTTATGGATTATAGCCGCACTGTCGTTGTAGAGCACACCATTTTTAGCCTTTTCAATGAAATCCAAATGATCAAATCAATAAAAAGTAAACAAAGAGGAACTTCTAAAGTAAAAAAAAAAAATGTAGGCACACACAGAATCAGCCTGTGTATCTCAACAATGGTGACACTTAAAATACATGTTGCAGTTCATTCTCGGTTCCACCAATCAAAACTCATTCATGGCTCCCATCATGCATTGCTGCATGAATAAATAATCAGCTAAGGTGATCTGTTTGTCACCATTGCTGATATGTAGTTTAGCTGAATCAAATCTTCCTAATATAAAAGTACTTCTATAGAGAAAACAAGAATTTGGTCACTTTTAAGACTATAAAGGGGTCCTTAAAATAATTATAAAAAAACTGTTATTACACACTTCCACCAAGTATACAGCCTCACATAATCATCATAAAAATATTCATATTGTGGTCTGATCAGTTAAAGTGTGATTTCAAATTCAAAATCATTATTCTGTTCTAATATCAGCCCCTGAAAGTGAAATATTCCACTGAGTTTATAATATGAACTACAGTCAGAGTCTCAGAGAACTGATATAAACACGTTATTATTGTGAGGCTGAAATACAATATTCAACATTAGTGAACATTATTCCAGCTGAGGCTGATGCATGTCAAATAATAAATTATCCATAGATTGGGACCTGGGAATTACTTTATCTTCATCATCTTCATCTTCTTTAAAGGAATAGAGGCTGTCTGAACCAGTTGTGGGAGTTGATGTGGAGCAGAACAACAAAACACCAATCAGAAACAATATCGTGTCATGAATCTGTCAATCTGTACCTTTAACTTTAGTTGTATGAAGGATCAATAATTCAACATGTTTTACACTCGTCATAATAAAGTTCACATTTATATAGAGGGGTAACTGGTATAACTGCCAATATGTGGGATAACTGTTCATTTCTTGTAAAGACACAAACTGTGAAGTTTTCATCACAAACTAAACGTGTGCACTTTTCCACTGTTAATACTCATAAGAAGACAAGCGTCAATCATAGAGAGTGTGTTATTATTACACTGTGTGTGTCATCGGTCAGAGAAACTCATCAATAACACTGAATCAACAATAGAAAAAAATGTAGAACCTGATTGACGATTATAGAATGATTTAAAATGTTTAAATATGTGTTATTTTATATTTTTTAGGGTTTGGTTTGTTCTTTTATAGACAGCGTTATTAATCATAATGGTAACACTTTACAATAAGGTTCATTAGTTAACATGTACTAAGAATGAACAATCCTTCTTCAGCATTTATTAATCTTATTTAATATTAATTCCAACATTTACTAATACGTTATTAAAATCAAAGGTTGTATTAGTTAACATTAGTTAATGGACTGTGAACTAACATGAACACACAGTGAACAGCTGTATTTGTATTAACTAACATTAACATAGATTAATAAACACTGTAACTAATGCATTGCTCATCGTTAGTTCATGTTAGTTAATGCATTTACTAATGTTAACTAATGAACCTTATTGTAAAGTGTTACCATCATAATCTTTCATCATAAAGTAATAACTTGATAACCTGAAACCACTTTTTCCTTTTTGTTTACTGCGTTGCATAAAACATCTGGGAAAAACTTTATGTGGAAATCAGTTTATCAGTTATTAGAGTATTAATAAAGCCTCTGGTTAATGTCTGCTGACTCTTTATTTCGATGCTCCTCAACAGACTATAACTGCAACTACATGTAAACTTATTATATACAAACTATAACTGTATTATTTTACTAATACTGAGAGTGAGTTGACATGTACATTTATTTCTGTCCTCTATTCATGTTTTCGCTCTAGTTTTTGGGGAAGTTATATTGAAATTACTTACAGAACCTTTAATTAAACCATTGAAAACACAAGGAAGGGGAAACAATTATCACAAAATAAAAATATTTAAGTGGTTTAATAAACAAAAGCAATATACAAATCATTATATTATTTGCATATGAATGTATAGAGAAAAACACAAACTCCATCATATAGGACACTTCAACCCTCAGCATGAATATATTTATAATGGATTATGTGTTTTATCACTGTTTAATACTGGGAACATAATTTAAGATTCCTCTCTGAATCAGAAATGACAAAATTTTAAATTAACTCACAATATCACACACAAAATCAAATTCAACGAGTTAAGCCAACTCGATTGCCTCAATTCATTTGATCAAGTTTATAAAAACAATAGTTATGAGTACTCTGAAAATATTTCAGTTGAGTTCACTAAAAGTTGATATTGAAGTCAAGAAGTTAAGTGATTAATTAAGTTATTAATTAAGTGATGATTGAGCATTACTGCTGTTAACAAGCAGAATCATAGAAGGAAAGAGAAACACACGAACTACAACTGACATCCAACCACAACATTAGATTGAAATCAACTGAAGATAAAATATGTTTAAATCTCTCAGCAGAGGATCAAACAGCATTACCAGCTTCACTTATTAATAGCCAGTTTGACTTTTGATGGGTCGACAGAAGGGTTAATTGTGAATGTTTATGATGAAGATGATTTATTGAGTTTCGTGTTTAAAGCACCCATGATGGTTGGTCAGTGTTTCTTTAGTTGGGCTCTGACCCTTGACATTGTAACACCAGACTTTCCTCTGGCTGCTGTAACTGAGTGTTTATGCAACACGTCTTGTGTTATGGCACGAACATTTTAGCATGTGGTTGTGTTTTTGATGATGAGTTATGGAATGATGAATCAACATTTGGTGTCTTGATTCTCTGATATTTTCTGGAGAATAATCACTGATTAAACAGGTGATATACAACTTGTATTATTAACTGTGATTCTGTTGTAAA